AATTTGACCCACACACTTTCTGTGCCTCTACTGCTTCTAGTTCAGCGGAGTCATAAACGTACAAGGCGTGATCCTTTGTCTTCACTCTGTATTACGTCAATAAACGATAAGAATAATCTACGGTTGACGTCTGTTATTGGTTAAGACCAAGGTCTCCTCGAGATTGGCTAACCTGGCCATGGTATTGTGAATTCTTAGTATAGCTGACAAAGTATTCTTGGCTTCTAGAAAAGAGTCCAATTATGGGAATGTAGTTTATACCGAAATAGTTACCTTTCTCGGGTGGTATCTGACAGGTATTAAAGAGCCAATTCGGTCCAAGGTCTATACATGCTTTACCTCTGTTACACTGTTGTGGTATAAGCACAGTCACCGTCCATTTTTTCGTGGTTAAGGAAGACACCATGTTTTGTTAACAAGACGTAAGTCTTCTTTTTGTTCTGTAAGAAATGAGTGTATGTGATACGAACAAAATTTACAGTGTCATAAGTCCGCTTGTCATTAAATACAGGAATTCCGACAGTTGACGCAATCAATCTAAGCAGGTTCTGGAAAAGTATGAGGCAACGGCATTGCTACTTCACACTTGTCTGTACGAATACAGAAGCACTTACACTTAATGTAAGACGGCTAAATTTCCAGAGTCTCGGTGCACATTCTGGAGCATTTCTATATACCTATATTAGATAAGTTAAATGGCAGGTCAAAGAAATCCCAAGCATCTACATAAGGTCTAAATGTAAGCCTTTCCTTGTGTATCTGCGTTTTGAGACAAGGTCTTTTGAGGGCTATGACGACGTAATCTGGTAAAGGGGAAGTTATAGCTGTAATCCTGGTGTGGATTTTTGCCTATCTACATCTACTTCATAGTTATTTAAAACGTTATTGTCTAGTGCCCTTGATTCGCAATAGTGAAATACCTTTTCATCTAATCTTTGTGCCGTCTGCTTAGCAAGCACATTGTCGGAATATACAGAACGCCTCACTGTCTGCATATAAGACTCAAATGGGAACGCCAAAAACGATTCTAAATGTCTTATTTCATTGACATCTGCGGCTAAGTGTTGCAGACAATGAATATAGTAAACCAAGTACTCCCTGCCACAATTAACTTCAAATTCATTACCTGCTCATATCTGCAACCATCCAAGTAATTCCGATAGAATTTTTTGTGCGATATAAGGTAAACTGCTAAACTAAGTCTTTGGAAGTTGCAGTTTATTCTGGGTGGCATAGTGTCCTTAAGTAAGACAGGCCCTTTAGTGAAGGAGGAAGATGTGACATTCAGTGGCCTTCCAGCTACTAACTTCGGTGAGCCGCCTACACTTTCTCTGGAGGTCCATGGGCGTCATTCTATCACAAGCTAATACATTCCCTTCAATGAATTCAAGTGAGCGCAGGTTTATGTGACTCTCTATTTTAGGGTGAATTTTGCCAGACACTTATAAGCTTCTTCTCTACCACTAAATAGACTAGGTGCATTGGTTCAATAGGGAAGCACTTAACCATATCAATGTTTAAATCCTCATAAGCACACTGTTCGCGATAGTGACTTGTCTGCATCCTTTGACGGAAGCTATCGTCAGTCCTATTGGAAAGCTTCCGTTTTCAAATGTCATTCTGTCGTCAATTTTCATTCCTATGGCCATACATTTGTTACAACCTGCACTGGCATTATGGCCTACTATAATTTTCACCTCCGCTCTAGCCGGTGCACCACATATGACGGTTCTCAAACAAACGTTGAAATACATGTTCAGTCTGGTAATTTGAATGCCTAGACTTAATATATCCTTTAGATCAGACACTAAGTCATTGCATAACTCTTTATAACAGCTAGGTTTGCTAGCACCACCATAGATACCTATCAGGAATACACTACTTAGGAAAGGTGCCGTATTTCCAAATGACAAGGGCCAAAGCTGCTGGTTAGAAGACTTCGAGTTGGACAATCTGTCGACATTCAACTGCAGATCGATTTGTTGTAGGGACCTTCAACCAGAAACATCTCTATGTAGTGCTGCAAACATTTCTGGGGACTGATTTGGCAATAGATTCCGTCTCTAACTGGTCTTGACTCACAAGAGCCGCACATTCTCAATACACTTTGAATAGTTGTAGGTAGTTGAGGCTATATTCCATGGAAGATCTTGAAGATTTTGTTACTGTTTGCTCATTACATGATCGTGGTAACCATGATTTTTGGTAGCATACTTTTCATTTCATCCCATTCATAAGACACTTGTGGTCACATTTGCAAAGTACTGGCAGCTGGTGTTAGGCTGCTGCAAGGTGGTGATGGCATGAACTCAGTTTCCGTGGTCATGGTGCCAGTGTTAACTGAAGAAGGTTCGATTTTCACAGGAAGGAGAGCAGGTGTGACAGACTCCGGTAAAGTTGACTTTACTGAGATCTCGGCCAGTAACCACTCATCGATATGTCTATACCTTCTGTAAAATGTACTGCTATGGCAGTTCAAACGTTGGTTACATTGACGTAATCTTTTCATACTTAACGAAGGGTATTTATAGTTAGACTCGGAAAACATTTAAAATAAAACGCAGCGGCCACTTACCTGAATTGTGTACAATTTAAAAGTGCGAGCACAATGGGTGACTGTAATGCAACTAAACAAAACATCTGTTACGCTGCGATTAACACTGGCCACTTATGTTTTCACAAACTCCACTGATTGGTCAGTAAGCATGAACCCACATATGACACTTTCTTAGACGATGAGGCATTGGTGACTTTATTAGAAAGCATACTGACCCCTTATATTATCGCAGTCAAAGTGAGAATAACAAGTCACACGTCGATTTCCCATTGTGACTTCAATCTAATGCTGCTGGCCACTATTCTTAATGTATGTATATGTATGTATGCGGGTGGTTCTGTCTTGATTAGTGTACAATGGAAAACACTTACGTTGTCGGCTCACGTCTACTGTCACTCCTATTTTAAGTGTTAGAACTTCCTTCTGTGTTCTGCTTGTCAGATTTTATGAAAAGATTCGACTGTAAACTACTATTGTAAGAAAAACGCATCAATTGCAGTACTGGTAACGTAATTTTGACACAAAGATTGAACTACTTACAGTTTATCAGTAACCTCCCGTGTACAAAAAAAGTTTTCAAAGTTTCCCCACGTTGACCCCTTAATCTGATTATTTCCCCCTTGGAAAAAATACCTCTTTTTCTTCCCCGTTTTCCGGAAATGCTTCCTTTTATTCCACACATTTTTCCAACTGGGAGACAATGATTTGCTGGGTCAATTAAATACTCTTGTTGAAGATAAGACCGCAGTCAGCGAAAATAAACTTTCAGATTGTGGCTTACAATCGGTGGTTTTTCCTAAATTACGACAATTTGGGAAGTTGGTTATTATGCGGGATGAAAACACTGGCAAGATACAAATTGTTTGTCTTAGTTAAAATATGGAAATTCTTATTTTCGGTATATTTGTAATTTGCTGGTGTCTGTATTTATGGAATATGAATAATTTTCAAAAAAACTTCAAGTAAACTATCCTCTAGTCAGTGTTCTCCCCTTCCCAATCTTATTTGATGAGTCATCTGTTGACACAATTAAACGAACAGATAGTAATGTAGTGTGTCTTGTAGCTGTGAACCGTTCACACTTTGTTTCGAGTTAATGTAATGCATCTAACTGTGTAACCCTATGGATAGTTTTTTCATCATCGTACACTACTACATTCAGAAGTCCTAAAAATAATGTTTTCAATTGGTTTTTATTAACTTGAGGGGTGGCTGGAAATGGTGCGACAGTTTAGGTTCTGTGGCAGTAGAACAGCTAACTCTAAACGCTTTTTTGGAGATGTGGGCACATCTACTAACGTAATGGTCTTGGGAGATTCCCTTCAGCAGAAACTGCTTTAAAGCAGCTAAGTGGGTGTAAGTAGTGAGACCCATTACTAAGCAGAGTATGTTGATTATTTTCAAAGGTATCAAACACTGTATGATTGGTTAGACCGCAGTTTGTTTGTCCTTTGGTGGGTAGCCTATCATTAGTGAACTTGTATAAAATAAGACTCAGGGTCTACCGTTCTTGTTTGGTGTAAGACGTATGACTTTCATGATTAGAGCTAGATAAAAATGGCATCGTTATGGTTCTTTGGTTATTATTGACTGAATGTCTGATGAAGCAACTTCACTCCCACAGAATACTGAAGTGAATTAAAACTCCAGAATGTTACATCTAATCATGGGACACCAAATAATAGATTTCTGGCGCCATGCAGTGTGAGGATATGCAACTGGCTAAATAAGGCAAGTGCAGGGTTATCCCACTAGGTAAGCTTTACATTAATTAATCCAGCTTCAAATATTTAAATAGCTCATAGTAAAGTGAGGCATTGAAGAAGTTCAGAAGAAGCAGAAGTTAAGAGTATATTAAACACTTCACTAATTTACAGAAGAAAATCCTAGTGAAGGACATTTACGTTAGTTTGATAGATTAACATTTTCTCTGATTTCATATTTGACAACTTCTATATGCCTAAAATACACAGGATATTTAGCGCTAGCACAACATGGAGTAATAAAAGATAATTTTATACATTATTTTACGGAATAAATACACTAATTCTGTCACTATTTATTAACATTTTCACGCAGATGAGAGTATTTGTAATTCATAACTGAATCCAACATTGATGACAGATGCGTTAATAGAACTTATACTTCCAAATACTAGAAAATTATGAGCCAATTTCAAGGCATAAGCCAACAAAAATCAGTAATAGTTGTTTTGCCATTGAAAAACAAGCTTTAAGAAACCAGTAACGTTTTTGCTGGGTAGTGGAAATGATTTTAGATAAATTGATGCAGAAACAATGATAAAGTAGACTTAATACACAGTAATCCAAAGAAGACATGGATTTATTCGTCTTAATCGAAGTTGATAAGCCATCTTACAGCGTCAGTTGGTCACTGTTATGTTAGATGTGAAGTTATCTGAAGACATTGAGTATTGATCAGAATCATTTTTAGGAGGAATTTTAAGTTATACGCTACGAAACTTGTTATCGATGCTACAGAACACTAATCACCCATCTGATATTTTGGTTAGTTATTTTTAATAGTTATTCACCCGTGTGATAAAGACTACGTTTTAATATGTCTTGAAACCTTAAATTTTTGAAAGGTAATTTATTATGCTAAAATGTGATTGAATTTAGCATTCGGATCATACGATTAGATGTATATATTCTGCGTAAAATTGGATAAGAAATGCCATAGATGTTGTCTTCCACTGAATTGTGTTATAAGAAGTTTACTTATCATCGAGGGTGTAGCTGGGATATATCTGACAGATAAATCATAAGTCAAACTTATTTCATTATTATTATTCCCTTGGTTTCTGAGTGAAACATTGGGCTCCAACAACATATCCCCACTTTGTTATTTCTTCTTCTTTCCTCTTCGTCTGGGTCCCAGACTGACCGTAATCTCTCATCTCGCACGATCTCCTCTATGTCACTTGAACGACCCTCTCGTCCCTTCCCATCCGGATTCCACTCGAGCACTGGTCTGGCACTTGATCTCATTCGGCAGCCTCCTCAATGTGTGTCCAATCCATTTCCACTTTCTGCATATTTGTTGGGCGATTGGCTGTTAGTTGGTGTGTTGGTAAAGTTTCTTGTTGCCAATTCTTTCTGGCCGGTCATTTGATCTTCAGTGTAAAGTGAATGAAGCTGTTGATAAAACTATGTAACCTGTTGGAAATCCATTTCGTGACATGCCAAGTTTCTCACCTACGTAGAAGAGCAGACTGATTTGATATCAGTATTGAAAATCTAAACTTTGTTCCTTATTCTGCGGAGTGTAGTATATTTCTAAACTGATTTCAGGTCGATGAAAGTGTATCTTGCCTTTCCTATCCTGCTTTTGACATCTTTATCCATTCCACCTGTATCTGAAACAGAATTAACACTGAGCCACAGTTCGCCAAAGCTTACTTAACTAACAGCCAAAGGAAACTCCGAATTTGAAGCCTCATATTTCCATTAAAGTATGATGCAGTTCTTGGTGAAAGTTTTAACACCTAATCTAGAATAAAAAATCCTTTCATTTCCGTAAATTCATCGTAAGATCTTAAGACTCAAATATTTTTGTTCTAGAGCTGAGCTTATTGAGTGCTTCTGGATATATTGTAGTTTATTTAAATTTCACGATAAAGTTAATTGTAGAAACAAGGGAGAAATATTGCAATATACCCCTAAGCTATAATGCAGTTATCTTCCATTATCTGCTTTCCTTTGTTTGGTCATATCTTCGGCGTTGAATACTGCATAGGGAATGTGTGTATACTTGCTTGAATTCCATAGCTTTAATTGTCAGTCCTATCAATACCGAATTCGCGCTGTTAAGAATAGTCGCATAAAAGCATGATATATTCATTCGAGGCAGCTCTGATACCTTCAACATTCGACAGAGAACAACCTATATTTTCAGGTAAATTTTTTATTTACTACATCAAGTTGTATTCTTTAGAATTTTGGGCGGGATTTTAAAGCACTCCAATATCGTCAGCCACTCTTTCCACCTATTTTATGCATGTATTGTGTACAATTTCACCAGAAAACTTGTTATAGATCTTGTTTAAAAATGAATCTTACCTTTAGTTTCTGATTTTATTTGTTTGTTCTAAAGAATCGAAGTGGCTTTGATAAACAGTATGAGGAATATAAACAAGGCCTACAACTTACTCAGTGTGTCGTAAATATATTTCAAGAAAAGTAAGTGTTATACTGTTTTCAAATGTGACTGCCGTCATACCCCCTTAGAAAATTTGCGTAAAGCACCAACATACTTGCCTCATTTTGCAAAGCTGTTCCATTAATGTTCTAAAAATAGACGATAACTGTCGAAATGAGTGAACACGGAGAAGTGCTAAAGAAGTTAACAATTCACTTGGGGTTTATTTCTTCTTTTTAAAACACCTTTGTAATAAATCTTAGTGGAGGGATATTTTTTTCAAGAATCGCTTTCTAGACACCAAAATGCAAATCTGAATAGCCAAATAGACCTTTGGGAAGATCTTCAATTAAATTCTTTATTTTGAATTGTTTCGATTCACAGCATCATTAAGGGAGTAGGCAGGTATTAGATAATATATAAAATAAAATACAAGACAGTAAGTAGATGAATTGAAGTTAATGATAAAGTCTGAAATTTAAAAGATAAACAGAAGACGCATCTATCACGGCAACCGATTTTAAGACGAAAATTTCAGTGTGTCCAGTTAACCATTTCTAGCATTTCATAATCTTTAGCGATAAGATCTTTTTTATGCAGGAGACATTGCAAACTACCATAGCTTTTGAGTCTAGCCTTTGTTGTTTTTTCTTTTCAATGCAATCCAACCTTGGCTAACATTATGAGTTAAGATAAATCACTAGTTAGGATGCAGTCAAATGAATCTCGATCACTTCAGTTCACATCGTCGCAATTCTTATCTACTGGTTGATAAACTAGATTAGATTGGATTATCAGTTGGCAACAAGGTAGGAGCTTCAACCGAACAGTGCCATTTGCAGAACCACTCTGTATGAGTCAACACTCAAAATGTTTTAATTATTTAATCAACAGTCATTTTACAGTTTCTAAAATACAAAAATAATCAATATTTCCATCTTTGTACACTCTTGGTATTGAAAATTTTAAAAGTTTTTTTATTTAAAGACGTAAAAATATCTTCCAGTGCTTTTGTTGAACCTAGGTAGACTATCTCATAATTCAATTTCACTGCAAATAAATTCTGAGTGAAAGTATTTTCCAATAAGATGGACAACAGGGAGTTATAGAGGTTCTTATTCAATGTAAAGGCATCCTCGTTTGTCAAAATTTATGCTAATTTTCGATATTCATTCGTGTCCCTGAGAATTCGTTGTAATTGTCGAAATTTTAGGTAATTTTGAAGTCACTAAATTCGACTGAGCTGATTTGAAACTGAAAGTTCTAATCCTTCTTGTTATAAACTTACTTTTTACATATTAGTCGGTAGTATTTCGATAATTTGTTTATTTGCCTAGAAGTATACATATATATAGGCATTGTCTTTCTGTTGATTCAAAATTTTCTTTTCTTTTACCAACACAGATGTGAACTTCAGTCAAACTATTCACGAGCCCTATCAGTATTAAGTGGTCGTTTACGTGATACCGTATCTAAAACAACCGGTGGGTAAGTTGTACAAGCCTGACTTTAGTTGTAATGGGTTGTGCTTATTATTTAGTCACTTATTCACACAGTTTTACGTCTTAAGGATTAGTTTTGCTTAATGTTGTGTAACAACGTCTAAAAGATTCGGGACCTCATAGAATTTTGCCAGTTTCTTACCCATACTGATAAATTTTCTTTCAGTAACTTTGACTTTATTACTTTTGACTGCCTTTGAATAAGGTGATTTCTTACGCAGTAATTAGAAACACCGTTTTTACGTAGAAAGGGTTGGTGTCAAGAAAGCTGTGTGCATGTCACGTATTTTAATTCTCTAACCTCAATGCGTAGCTTTTTATCTTCAGCACTTGACTCTCAGCTAACTGGTCTTGGGTTTGAATCGCCTCTTATAATAATTAAACCACAAAGAACATTATAGACACCAAGAGATGCATCATACATAGGTCCATAGTTTGTGTGAAGGCTGGGATATTTTACGGATGGTTAGATCGAAACAGGTGGTTGTCTTAACAGGACCACTGTCTTCTCCGAGCCTTTTACTTGAAGCTTGATCCACAGGGTAGTGGAGCAGCGTTAGGAGTTATGTTCCTATGTCGGAGCTTGACAAAAACAAGTTCACACACCATTCAATCCCTTGGGATTCTGGAATCCATGTACACCATACGTTTTAAATCAGGATTTTCCGGCTCCCTTAGGTAGACCAACTTGTCCACCAAACGTTTCGCCCACCTTTTAACTTTTGTGAGGAACATCCTTGTCACGTGAAGGCGGCGAACAGGACTTACCTGGTAGAGGCCATGAACGCGTGACTACATGAGATCATTTCGAGATGAATACCGAAGTCTACCTACTCTCAACCGTAGTAGATCGTTCGTGTAGGTTTGGTAACTGAGTAGTAACATCAATCCTCGAATACTAAGTGTGGCTAATAGCCGAGTGCGTAAAAAATATGTTTCAGGTAACAGAGTTTCAAGTAAAGTAGCCTGGAGTGAACTCCTAACAATGACGACTAATTTCTTCTGATCATTTCCTCCTGTAAGCTTCGGAAACTTGCAGCAGATATTCATTCGATCTGTTCTGTTGATTACAACTACTCGCAAAAAACCCACCAGTATGATAGTGGAGATCTGGTAGCAGCAAATAAACATAGGAATGTTAGTCTCTGTATTTTTCCTTCTTTGTGAGTTCACGATATGCATTCACGCACTTATAGAGGTATTTGTATTTCAAAATTCATTTATCCGAACGTACTGATAAGCTTAAGTCGATCCTCTGACCATTTTTAGAACTGTACACACTGCATGGTTAAGAATAGCCGCAGCATTTGAAATGGAGTCTAAATTAAATGAAAAATTTGCTGAAAATTTGGTAAACAATCTAATTGGTCCATTGAAGGATTTAATTGAAACATTGAAAAAAGACAAAAAGCCAGTAAGTGTTTTTCTGTCATTGTCTCATTCTTTTGTAATATAATCATAAGTATTTATACTCTTGGTTTTGTGAGTGTCTATCGTACTTTTTCTTGTTTACTGATTTTATAGTCAGAATCCTTTTTTGCCTTGTTCAGGAAACTAAGTCCCTGTATAAGGAGGAAATAGTCAGACACGTATCTGAAATCGACGGTAAGACTCCTCCTGAGAAAGTCTGGTACAATATACAGTTAGCTGTCAACACAGCTGTAAACGACTGTTAATAACCTAAAATCACAAGTTAGTGAGAGCAAGTGGATTTCTACTTCCTCATCTGAACTAATTAACGTAAGAAGACTGATTCCGGCGAGCTCCGAATATGCTGAGGAGCGAAAGCTGTTCAAACGCAAACTGACAAGAAGTCTCCGTAACGACCGTGAACAGTGGTAGGCGAGAGAAGCGAAAGAGATAGAAAAGGCATCGGTGATAGCTAACACCAGACAACTGTTTAGACTTACCAGGGAAATAGGTGGCAAAAGGCAAATGATGAGTGAAACAATCTCCTAGAAAAGTGGCACCATAATTAGCTCTCAGGGTAGACGACTGGAACTTTAGAAAAAACACTCTGAGAAGCAAATTAACTGGCCTACGGCCTCGATCAACCTACTGAGCATTAAACACCTCCTTAAATGGGATATAAACACAGGTCATCCGTCCCTAATTGAGGTTACTAAGGTTGTCACTAATCTAAGACGAGGTGAAGCAGCGGGACCTAATGGAATGACTCCAGAGGTGTTTAACGACGTTGGAGACAGAATACTGTCTGCGATAGCTGAATTATTAGGCAGCGTCAGGAAATCAGAAGTAGTCCCATCGGACTGGTGCAAGTCATTGATTATCTCGATATACAAGAAGGAAGACAAGTCTTCCTGTGATAATCATAGAGGGATTAGCTTGACCAATATGGTATCTAAAGTTCTAATCTCAATAATCATGCGTAAGCTAAGTAATGCTCGGGAGGAACAAACACGAGAGAACCAGACAGGCTTTAGACCAGGAAGAGGGTGTATTGATCATATTTTCACTCTCCGACAAGTTTTGGAACATAGGTATACTTACCGGCGTCCAACAATCATCATATTTCCTGACCTGAAGGTGGCATTCGATTCCATTGACCGAGAGATACTATGGCGATGTTTGGCTGTGAAGGGAATTCTGGGGAAATACATCCCACGGATCAAGGCACTCTACTCGAACTCATGCAGCCTACGAAGAGTTGTCATCTGAAGTGGTGACAGCTAGCGGTATCTATCAGTGACGCCATTGTCCCCATTACTGTTTAATTTCATCATAGATGTACTAATGGACGTAACCCTAACTGACTTCAGCTACTCAGCAATTGACTCGTTGCCAGGGAGTGACCAATTTCGTTGACGTAGACTATGCAGATGATATAGTCCTTGCAGGTGAAGACGCTGACAAAATGCAGAGTTTTCAGAACACCTTGAGCAGCAATCCGCGAATGTTTGGCATACGATTCGCTCGCTTCAAATGTAAGATGATGAGGCTACAGGACTGGACTACATAGACTTCTAGCTTAAAGATAAGCAGTCCACTTCGCTTATTTGGGAAGTTGCATCAGCCAACGCCAGCGGGTTGATCGCTGACGAATTCTTAGGACGGATATGGAAGGCTCATTTATTCCATCTCTGGCGTAGACGTGATATCTGGCTGTCTACCGAGGGAAATGTGTACTGCTCAGTAGTTCGCTCTCTTCCTCCTTCATGGCTCTAAGTGAGACATGGCGATCGAAAGTGGAAGACAAGAAAAGGTCGGCTAGTTGTCTTTGTTCATAGGTGTCTGCCTTCTATCTCCCATGTTAGGTGGTACAATAGGGTGAGTAATATTGAGGTTATGCGTCGAGTGCTAGGTAGGTGGGAGGGGAAGTCGATCGACTGGGTTATGAAGTTACATCAATTGAGATAGTTAGGACATGTGTTACGCATTCCTAACCATCGCCTTCCTCGACTGGTGGGTTATGTTAGTTGACAAAGGATTATTCAGGTTGGAAAAAAGATAGTGGTGGTCAAACTAAAACTTGGTATCAGTTAACGATATCCATAACAGTTAGTGTAAGCCTGGTTGGGGTCTTAGGTATGGCAAGAACCAAAGGCTAGAGACAATTCGTGATATGAAAACAAAACACGTAGATCAGCGAAGAGTCTCTTTTCGGCGAATTCATTTTCTTAGCTGTACAATCGCAAATATATATATATATATATATGTTATTTTGTATGTATGTGTACAATAAGTTTACCAAACGAAATGCAATTGGTTATAGTTATTTTAACTAAACAGATGAAGATTGGTAATTGGAGTTACGTAATGCAAAATTAGTCAAGAAAATTAGGTGTTAGTGAAATTAGGGTAGTAACAAAGGTGATGAGTTGTCACAAACAGTTGCGAAAAGAAGTTATGTAATAATATGAATAGTTTGATGAGTGAGTTTTACTCAGGATGCACATAGGAACAAAGTAGATCATACAAAATTACGTAAGAGTTCTAAATAAATACAAGAATTATAAGCAACTAAAGAACAGGCAAAGAAATAAAATTAAGTCATCAAAATCAAAAAATCGAATCAAATCAAAAAAGTTGTTACCAAGGCAGTAAAAGTGGTTGAATAATCCTCTTTTGTATGCACAGCTCCGGTTTTTCTATGTGAATAGCCAGAGCTTCAGCGATAGAAACGAGGCGAAACCGTATTGCCTTTGCTAGGTTGTTCTTGACTCTGTAGATTACTTTAAAGGAGGCGTTTGTCGAAATGGACTGATCAGTGTTAACCAGATGTTCAATTATCGCAATCCTTTTTGCACCACTATTGCCTTTTCGCAACCGTGCTAGATAGTGTTCTTGAATCCTCTTGGACAGAATGCGCGTCGAACCACCGATGTACCTGGCTCCATAGCAGCCGGTGAACTGATATATACAGAGTCAAGAACAACCTATCAAAGGCAATACGGTTTCGCCTCGTTTCTATCGCTGAAGCTCTGGCTATTCACATAGAAAAACCGGAGCTGTGCATACAAAAGAGGATTATTCAACCACTTTTACTGCCTTGGTAACAACTTTTTTGATTTGATTCGATTTTTTGATTTTGATGACTTAATTTTATTTCTTTGCCTGTTCTTTAGTTGCTTATAATTCTTGTATTTATTTAGAACTCTTACGTAATTTTGTATGATCTACTTTGTTCCTATGTGCATCCTGAGTAAAACTCACTCATCAAACTATTCATATTATTACATAACTTCTTTTCGCAACTGTTTGTGACAACTCATCACCTTTGTTACTACCCTAATTTCACTAACACCTAATTTTCTTGACTAATTTTGCATTACGTAACTCCAATTACCAATCTTCATCTGTTTAGTTAAAATAACTATAACCAATTGCATTTCGTTTGGTAAACTTATTGTACACATACATACAAAATAACATATATATATATATATTTGCGATTGTACAGCTAAGAAAATGAATTCGCCGAAAAGAGACTCTTCGCTGATCTACGTGTTTTGTTTTCAATAATGCTTGGATGGTGATTATACATGAATTCGTGATATGGCTCAAAATCATTCTTAGTGGTGCAGATGCACTCACTGTTTGTGATTTATCATATCCAATAAAACTGTTTTGTTTTTCCATGTTACTATTCTCTTTCCTTTACACTTCAGTTTATTATCTATCTTTAAAAACCTCTCTTTACTCTCTTCTCTTGCTTTTTGTGCTACATGGAGTGTGGCAACTCAAAATGCTGCACATCTGTGCAAAGTTCTACGTTGAAACGAGTCAGTCCGTCTTTGCCTTGTATTCATTTGTGTTTTATTCCGTCACCTGGAGAGAAACCATACATATCCCGCAGTTGATTTACCCTTAGGAAGTATTATAATCAGTTAACAAGGTTTACAACTTAACTGTTTTTCAATTTCGGTCATTCGGAATCCTATAAGCTAAATACAGGAAAGATATACCTTCATTCTTTTGAAATTATTGTGGCCCCCTATTGCAATCAGCATAAGGAATGAAATCCGAATCTTCAACATCTAATGTTAATTCAGTGCTTCTATATGGTTCGAAGACTTGACGTGTCATGAAAAGCACTTCAAACAAACTACTGCAGACTTTCATCAACAGCTACTTTCTGTCGGTACTGAAGATCATTCAGACAGCAGAAATCAGCAACAATGGAAATCTCTGGAAACCAGTCAACCGAGAGCGTGTTGTCTAGCAAATATTTCGAAGAGAATGGAGTGGATTTGACATATGCTCAGGAGACCACTGTTGAGTGATATCATGCATCCAGCTGTCGCTTGCGTTGAATCCGAGAGTGAAATGAAGGGTTGGACTTGGGTTAGACGGTGATATTGGAGGAGATCATGTGAGGAGGAGGAGGACATAAAAGCTTATAGGTGATCGTAGAGAGTCAGCTAAAGAGAACTACAAAGAATAAAATAAAATAGAGATGTGCCACTGAAGCCGAATGTTCCAATTGGAAACCAAGAGAATGGTAATAATAATGGTAATAATAATAATAAGTGACTGAACTACAAAATTTGGTTTAGCAATACAGAGTGTTGTCTAGCATGTCAATCATTTCGAATGGCGAATCAAATGAAAGAATCCATAAACTAAAATGCTTCAAATAATAAAGAAAAGACAAGGCGTTGGAAGAAATAATTAATAAGTAGAGAAGAGTAAAATTCAAATAAACATATTTGTGTTAAAAGTAATTCTTCTCGGCTATTATTTTCATTCAAGACGACCAGTTACAAATCCCTTGTATTCTGTAAAGTTCAATCATCTAGCGCAGACTTCATAATTTATGATTAATACCACTTTAAAAAATGATTCTCGTCCTTCTCATACTACACGTGAACTTGTTCTCGTCCTAATTTTTCTATTCCTCACTGAGAGAATATAATGAACTGTTGTCACTGTGGCTTCCAGTACGGTTGCTTCTCCGACAATGTCTGAGAACTAACATGTTTTTTGATGGATAGTCATTAGAAGTCGAATTCAGAATCTCATTTTGTTTTATTTGGGACTCGTTGGCTGGGTGTAACTGCATTCCTAATGAGTGATAGTGTTCTCACTGAGAATCGAACACAGCATCTAACGTTCCAAGTGCCAGTCACTGAGAAATACAAAATAACAATAATTGGTACCTGTTGTTCGAGAGATGGATATTGTGGCCCGAGCTGCCTCGTGGATAATGCTTTGGTGTATGAAATGATGGGTACCGGCTTTGAGTCCTACTTGGAATGGAGCTACGTATAGCTGATGAGTCCCAAATACAACTGATTGTCCGTGTGCTTTTAGTGAATGATTTTGAAAGGTATTCTTAATTAATCAACTGACTAACCTTATAAATCCGTCGGCCTCGTTTAGTTACTTTCCTTCCACCACTGTCAGGTAGTTCAAGCATAGGATATCCTATACTATGAGAGTTCACTGGGAAAATGCATAAAATTTATAGAATTAAAGAAGGAAATAAACGGACTTAGTACCTATGCAAAGTGCTACTTTTGTTAATCCTAATCAAATATCTGAATTGTATTCAACCAAAATAATATAGCAAATCCTCGTCCTGTATTTCCCCCTAAACCATTTGATTACACTTGATTTATGCCTTCACTGTTAGTTACAATCATATTAGTTAACTTTATTATGTTTGAGGTAGATACACTCTATTACTTCTCATAACCAATTTGTTCGTCAGGCTGTGTATATATATTAGAAACAGTATAGAATCACAGCCTTAGCTTTAGTTGATAACTCATTGGAGCTGGGGTTTTACGAAGACTAAAGGAGGCGACTTACAGACGTGAAAATGTGCATCCTTATTAAGTTTACTATTTTTTATTCTGGTTTTAAGAAATAGGCTTCCTCACTAGTCATAGCCATGGAATCGTTTGACGTGATGCTTTTTCACACCTTTGAACTGTAGATCTTGTAATTAAGTGTATAATAGAATCATAAGGTATCCAAAAGAGGTCAACAGCTTATGCCGAATCATCACATGAAATGGTGGAAACTGCTGTCATCTGTGAGGAATATGCGTTACTGGCATTCCTCTTTAGCGTTTTTATTCGTTGACTTCCCAACTGATAGCTGCTATTTTGATACGGTTGTCGAGCTTGCTTATCACAACGACCATACGAGCTATACTGGCTGGAACTGATGTTCTTGCAGGTCCTAACATGTCAAAAGAGTCGTCTGCATAGTAGTTAGGCTGAAAGAAGTTGACATCATAGTGTAAGTCGCTCACACTATATTGGGTTCCGAGGACCAAGTCTTACTGCTGGCAAATAGAAATATAATAGCAGGTCGGCTCTGCTGCCTTCCTACTCTGGGGAGGTAGGGAAGTAGAGAAGATTAACCCTGAAAATTGTACATCCCCACGGTACGTAGTCGGTTGTAATACAGAGAAAAATATAAAATTCAACTGAAACAGACCGTGTATAACTGGTATGAAGTAAGTGTCTTCTGGGCTCTGCGGTGACACCACACTAGTGCTACTACTGTTTCAGGTATTTGAGGAAGAAATCAGCTTCCATGGTATAAGCAGCTTGGAAGTAATAACCGCCCATACATTTTCGCATCTGTTCGTTGACTTATTTATCTTCCACTGTCATCGTTTTGTTACCAAGCAGTGGGTTCTGGGTCAAAATCCGAGGGGAGTTCGAGTAGTTAGGAGTCAGTTGCCGTGCAGAGTCTAATTTAACCTTGAGAGTCTTCATATTCATGCAATTTAGACAGTCGATCATGGTCTTGATTAACATGTGTACTGCTATATGACTCATTTGTATTTCATACCTTTGAAGTACACCAGTTATTTTTATTTTCAAGTGGTGGTTTGCAGGGATTCGATTGATTACAAGTTTGATCACGAGCTGCCATCAGTTATATAACTAGTGAGAAGCCAGGAGGTACTGGACAGCTGTCTCCTCCTAGTTGGGGACTCTTCACCCGCAGGCACTTACCGGAATTCGAACCTTGTAACTTTCCGGTTATAGGGTGATCTGGTAGACCACTCAACAACTGGAGGACCCGATCCAATTGGCCCAACTTCTGCCAATTTGCGATGTAGAGCGCATCTGCCGGCCAGTATCATCGGCGAGTAACTGATCCCTTACCTACCTTGGTCGATCGTGCTGGTTATGACTTCGTACTAGAACTCTTGGTAACTAACTTCTTGTATACAGACAGTCGCTATTTGGCATCAGATTAATTTCCAAGTATTGGTTTTCAGGGATTTTATTAGTGACAGGTTTATTTATTTTTCAATATTAAATTGTTTCACTCCTAGTTCATTATTTATTCGCATACATTGTTTTCCGTGTTGTTTTTTTCATTATATCAAAGCTAAAGAAATTAGTGGATAAAGAAACAGAAAACTTGTTATCTCAATACGAAATGGAATTTCGTGCAAGACAAAAATTATTTTCATGTTTTCGTAATTATGAACGAGTTTACAATAATTATGTGAATCGAATAGATCAACAGCAGCAGCAGCAACAAAAACAAACACATGTCCACCGGCAACAACAGGGCGAAAATAATGAACTCAGTCACAACTGGCGCAGTCTTAGTTTGAATCGATCTGACACAGTTAGTCTCTGTACTATAGACTCTACAAGCACTAGTACATCTGATCATGATTCATTAAAGAATTATTCACTAGGGAAACGAAATTCAATTGATTATCACGCTAAACCAGTGACAAGTACATCTTCCGGATCAGTAGTAGCAGCAGTAAACACTACAAAATCGTCTACTTTAGCATCAGTCAACGGAAATATGGACTCTAGAAATTATCTTTCCTCACCTACAACTACTCCTGTTTCTTTGAACTGTTCACCATCACGTTTAAGCTTTTTGTATACTTCTTTACCACCGTATAGAAAATGTACAAAAAGCTCAAGTTTTGCAACAGCTGATTTGAAGTCAAATAATACTGTTAGACGTCATAATAGTTTATCATCTGGAGATGTAAATACCAAGAAGTTATTAACAGTATCTAAGGTATGAAGTTTTTTTTAAACTGTTACTGTTTCTGTTCAATTTTTGACCAGTTTTGTAAACTTTAGTGCTTATACAGCATATAACAAATAGTGAAACAATTAGTCCCTTTGATAAATTTGAATAATTTTCAAGTATTGGTTTGGTAGGGATTTTGTTTGATTGTATGGAGGATTTCATCATGAGCTGACATCAGTTAGAGAACCACTGGAAAACCTGGGAGTACTGGACAGCTGTTTCGTCCTAGTTTGGGACTCTTCAGCAGTACGCACCCACCGGGATTCGAACCCAGGACCTTCTGGTTACAAGGCGAGCTCGTAGACCATTGAGCCACTGGGACCCGATCCAATGGTCCTTGAATTCTAACTTCTGCCAATTCACGACATAGCGCGACCATTTCGCAATGTCTTCTTAGATGAGTTACTGTCACATCTTCAACCTGCTGTACCCTACTGGTCACGGCTTCCCACTAGAACCCCAGGTTAACTGCCTGAATAGGGCCAGTCACTAGTGAGCATCAGATTAATTTTCAAGTATTGGTTTGGTAGGGATTTTGTTTGATTGTATGGAGGATTTCATCATGAGCTGACATCAGTTAGAGAACCACTGGAAAACCTGGGAGTACTGGACAGCTGTTTCGTCCTAGTTTGGGACTCTTCAGCAGTACGCACCCACCGGGATTCGAACCCAGGACCTTCTGGTTACAAGGCGAGCTCGTAGACCATTGAGCCACTGGGACCCGATCCAATGGTCCCTGAATTCTAACTTCTGCCATAACCCATCGTTTCAAACACCAGACAGAATAACTTCCCATTAGTCCTTAGATATTGTCGAAGGGTCCCTATTAGTAATTAACATGTCAATAGACATCGAGCAATTCTCTCTATCACCAGTGATCAATGACATATATATATATATTCTGCATATTTGTTATTTACAGTGGTGATATTGACAACAGTGATGTTTTTTAAATAACATCTAATGATTTTCCCTCTTTTGTTTTGATCTTCACATTCATTTATATCAAGTCTATAATGAGATTGAATAAAATTCAGTTTGAATGTCATTCACTAGTATTCAGTAATATATATATATATATACCTTTCCAATTTGTGATCTTAATAATCAGACTTTATTTTTTAAAGTGCGTCGGTAGCATAGCGGTAGAATGCTTGCCGACCACGCGTGTGGTCGGGGGTCTATCCCCGGCCGACGCACTCCTTCACCTAGCTAAGCCAGTAATATGATTGGTAAAGAGGGAAGGTTGGGCATGAGGCTAGCAGCTAAACACCACTGCTACCGAAACTTCAAGCCTCTAGCTTGAAGCCCTGAGTTCCACTGGGAATGTAAAGGAGTAAGAAAAAATTTTTAAAACACTAATGTTGTCCATAAAAATTATTCCTCAACTGATGACTAGGTTTTCAACATAGAACTGTACACAGAAGTGCATCATTTCAAGTCGCCACACTCCAAATATAGAGGAAAATAGGAAAAGAATTCCAAAGAAGTCTAATGAGAGGAAATGCATTTGGAGAAAGAATAATTAACATAGAGAAACATGAAGATTTAATGGATCCGGGAGATTATAAAAAGTGGATACATCTCTGCCATTGACGGTTTTGAGCCATGTCACCCAGGACCTTCAGTTTACTGGTTGACCATCTGGTTGACCATTGAGTCATTGACCCTTAAATTCTAACTTTTTCAACTTGTAATCTGTGTATATAGCTAGTTCCGTTAATAAATTTAAATAAGGCATTATGAAGGCTAATATTGTGTGATGATGTCATTTTGTAATTTCTTCATGATCGCTTTACAACTGGGATGTTTTTTGTATCCCTTTATGTTCCGAGTGGAACAAGGTTTTAAGGTAGAGCTTTGAAGTTTTGGTAATAGTTACTGTATTTTTACGGTGTGAGGTGGCTTACCTCACGTCCACCCAACCTTCCCTTTTTTCACCAACCGGCCTTACTATTCGTTTAGCGAGGTTCAGGAATGTGTCAGCCGGGGATCGAACCCCGTACCACGTGAATGGTTGGCGAGAGTCCTATTGCTGAACCACCGATGACCTTACAACTGGAATATTATTATTATTCCCTTGGGTTCCGAGTGGAAAATAGGGCTTCAACAATACAACTCCGTTTTGTTCTATTTGGTGCGGTCCTCTTCAGCTGGGTCCACGATCGCTCCTCTTTGTACGATCTCTTCCATGTCACCCTAGGTCGACCCACTCGTCGCTACCCATTGCATTGGGATTCCACTCGAGCTATGGCCTGGCGAGTGATGTCATTGCACGGCCTACTCAACGTATGCCTGATCCATCTCCACTTTCTTCTGCATATTTGTGGAGCAATCGGCTTTTGGTTGGTTCGCTGACTAATTTTTTCGGGCTATCTGATGTTCATTGTGGAGCCAGCGAAGTCAGATGTCTGCAGCTGGCTGTGGGAAATGCTTTTCGTAACGCGAACGCCAAGTTTCTGACGCACTTAGAAGAACTAACTGATTTAACGTCGATGCTGAAAATCCGAATCTTGTTCTTTATGTTGCGGAGTGTAGACGATTTCCGAACTGATTTCAGATCGATGAAAGTGTATCTTGCCTTTCCTATTCTGGTTTTGACATCTTCATCCGTTTCGAATGTTGCTGAAGTGATGCTCTCTGTATCAGTGAAAGGAGTAACTTCTCTCAACTTTATTCCGTTGATGGTGATTGGTGCTGTTTGTTGTTGCTGTTGATTGGTTATCTTCATCACCTTCGTCTTCTCTTTGTTCACCTGGTGCCTTGTCTTCTCTGCTTCTTCAGACAGTTTGTTGATTTTTGCCTGTAAGTCTTCGAGTTTGTGTGACATTAAACAGAAAATTCAATAGTATACGTTTAACTTTTGAACTTCTTTAGTCCATTACATTGCACAGATATCAGTATCAGGCGACATTTTCTGATGAAATTATAGCAAATGTATCGCAGTTCACGATTATAATGCCACGGATAATATTCACGTGAGGAAAAATTGTTTAATGCCATATTTCATTTAAAAAGTGTACAAAAAATATATCTTGTTATTAAAGCACTATAGCAATGGACTACAACGCTACAGTTAACGGGGTCGTGTAATAAAGTCAATTATCATATGCCAGTTGTAAAGCGGTCGTGAAGATACTATAAAATGATATCACCTGGTCAGTATTTCTCTTTCTCCTAATACCTTATTTAAATGAACGTATAAGTTTTGTTGACTGTTAGAGTTTGTCCGGTTTTATATTTTAGTAGGAGTACAATATGTTTGAACATGATAAACATTCATCAAGTCACATGTGTCTGTTTAACTATCTATCTATCTATCTGTCTTGAAGCGTATTGATTAGGTATGACTATTTCTTCCGCTGTATAATAATTGGCAATTAACTATGCATTGATTTTGTGACTGACTACTAAATTTTGCTTACATTTCTGCGTCAATATTGTTTCTCTATTACACTTGTTTGTGTACAGTTAAAGAATGCATATAATACAACTCTTACGGACTATTATCGAGCTTGTATATCAGCTGAAGAGGCTAGAATAGACTGGCATACGAGAATGCTAAAGGTGAGTATTCTAATATCTGACATGTGTACTGTATTATTTCTTCGTTTGCTAAGATGTAAATTATTATTATTATTATTTATCAAAACCCAAACTTGGCCCATTATGGTCATAGTTTGTGCGAGAGTTGGGATACTACCCGGCTGTCCAAATCGAAGTATGTGATTGTTTTAGGGGCCCCTGTGAACCTTTGACTTGAAGTCTGATGCAAAAGGCATTGGATTGGCGTCACCAGCTACATTCTCATGGTTTGTGTCGGCAGAACCTGGTTCATATACCATTCGATCCTTTGGGAGTCAGGGGCCCACGTACCCTATAAGTTTTGAATCAGCGTTTTTCAGGTCACCTAGCTAGGCAAACGAGTGTGTCCACCAGTCCGGTTGCAAGCGCTGGGCGTTATCATTCGTCCTTTCGCCTTTGTGAGAAACACCCCTACCGCGTGAATGGAGTGAATAGGACTTACCTGGAGGGAAGATGCTATGAAAGCGTTGCCTCATGAGAGAGCATTTTGAGAGGAATATCGAAGTCTACCCACTCTTAGCATTACCAAGTCGTTTATAGGGGCGTTTGTGTACATGCATACTAATTATTATTTCGTTATTTTTTATTATATTTATATACACAGTTGTTTCTATTCACTGTCATGTACAACTTGTGCTCTATTGAACATGGTGACCTTTTTATTCATAATAGTGCTTATTATACATTTATTCCTTTGGATTACGAGTGTAACATGCTGCTTCAACAGCCCCATCGATGTTTCACTCTGTTCTCTGCAATCCATTTAATCTGGCTCCGCTATAGCCCTTAAGCTTTAACTTTCTCCTCACATGATCTCCTCCATGTTATCCTCAGACCCACGTTAAACTCGTCGTTTCATATTCGGGCTCCACTCAGCGGTCGCCTCAACGTGTGTCCAATCCACGTCCATTTCCCTCTGCATATTTGTTTGTCAATGGCTACTTGGTTGCTACTCTACCAGAATTCCTCGATGCTAATTTCTTCCGGTCAACCGATCTTCAACGTGTAACGAAGGCAGTTGTTGAAGAATGTCTGCAGCTTGTAATATTGTAGACTATCTTATGACATCTTTATGCTATGAGCAATGATTGAATGGAAACGTGAATATCCACTTAGTCTACTTTTGCTGGATAACGGTTATAATGATTTCTTTTTCAGTGTGTAAACTTGACGGTAAATTTGACGTTTTTTACTTGCCAGTTGTATTGCCGATGATGATAGTGATGCGGACTGCTGTCGTTCAAGAGCCATTAGGTAATAATTAAATGCACATGTCACCCACTTTATCGTCTCAACTTGGTACATACTGGCTATTTTGAACAGATATTAGTACGACGATTGAATGTGTGAAGAGTGAATACTCTGGAAATGGATAGTTAGATATAATCACAAACGATGCAGTTTGTCTTCATTGACTCTACAACATAACTGCTTAGACGTTTGACTACTTACTGATTGATCAGTTTAAACTCCACTGTACCCATAAAAATTCAATCAATTGGCCCATTGCATTGCAGGGAAATCTGAAAACACAGAAGTGATAAAATTTCTTTGACATTTTCACGTTTCGCTTTCAACGATCATGTCGAATAACAAAAATAAAATTAGAACAGAGCACATATCCTTTCAGAGATATCCGAATATGCTTTAAACACTACGGATGACACAAGTTAACAAGTATCAAATAAGTTTTCTGTATTTCTGCTAAGATTTTATCACCAGCGATTCCTATTGGACTGTTGTAAATAAGTTAAATGCTTGGCTGGTTTATTCTCTCCATTGTAAAACTTCGAGTTGGTACATATCAGGCCTGTAACATTTCGTACTACATTTGCTACGATTAAAGTACATACTGAACGTACTTAAATATTTACATTAACTTTTAGATGGGACTGCATTTTGTCAAAGTCTTTATTCAACCTAACTATACTGTACCTTTTTCAGGCATATAGTCAATTCATATTAGGCTGGAATTAATCACAGTAACCTCCACAATCTAAATTTATTCTAAACCCAAATGAATCTGATGAGCTTCGGTACCGCAGGTGATACCTTCGGTTGTCGCCATTTTGTAAGGCAGCTCTCTGTAAGGTATCACACAGTTACATGAGAATAAAGGTATGGTAAATGCAGTCATGCGCAGGTCTGGAACATACACGAATCTCCTTTATCCATATCTACGACCATGAATGGCCGAGGTTGGGTAGACGTTGGCCTTCTCGAAATGCTCTCATATATCCACGCGTTCATAGCCTCTGGCAGTCAGGGAAGTCCTATTCACTCCATTCGCGCGACTGGGTTGTTTCTCTCAAAAGTGAAAGGACAAATGCGAATGTGTAGCACCTGCAACTGAACTTATTAACAAGTGTAGTGTGGTACTTTGTATGTTTCAGTATATTATATCTATCAAATGGAAGATATTTGTTGTTATTATTATCATTATGATTATTATTACTATTACTATTTTTTAGTGTTTCAATGATCAACAAACGTTAGAAAGTCAACGGTTAGATGGTTTAACCAAAGGTTTAACAGTTTATCGTAATACTTTAGATGATATCCTACCGATTTGGAAAGCTGCTATCAACGAATTAGCTGTAGGTGCATGTCTTCTTATTTTGATGATTCTGCTAATTTTGGTTTCTTTTTTAATTGTGAACAATGAAAACAATGAATTCTTTGTGTGTATTGTTGGTTACGCTACTGACAAGGATTTGTAAGTAGTATATCGGAGACACTTGTTGCAATAATCTGGATAGCTGAGAGATGAATTAAGTAGCAAAGAAGAGAAATGAAGAAAATAACGTCGGGCTGCATTCACTAACTGTAGTTGGTGGTTGATAGTAGTAATGATTCACTGCATAAATTGGGAAGCTTTTAAATCTTCCTTTGAAATTCGGTAATGCACGTCGCAGAAGATTTGTCAACGTTGCTGCCAAAACCAGCATATGCACCGAGCTTGTAGGCTCCTAAATTTCAGCAACTCCTCCTATCTATCCACCGGATTGTCAAACTCTGAAATCAGCCGCTAGACGATCTTTACCTACGAAGTCTCTGCGCCGACGCTATCTCTTGATCTCTCAAAAAAGGTTCCTATTACGATAAGCTTCGCCTACTGCTACCACACGCCAATCAGTTTAGCAACAACTTTGTAGTCCCTCAGGAATTTCCTCACTTCGTTTTGTTAAAATACATGCAACCACAACACTTTCATTTGTGACAGAGTCAGTGACAACTATTGTATGAGTAGAACAAAATGGTATTTGTTACCAGAATTGTGTATTTGTCAAAATCTAAAAGCTTTTCATTGGAACTTCAATTTGTAAGAGTTATTCGTATTATTCTCCTTTTTTCTTTGTTCCATGCTTTCTCTATTGTTTCATACAATGATCTTTATTTCTCCTCTGTGCAACTTAATTCATCGTTTGTCTACTCAAGACTTTTTCAGAACAAGTCGCAGGTGTGCTACTTACAAATCTTCTTCTCAGTAGCAAAAGCCTCAGTATTAATCTGGTTAGGCTGTTGCATATACATAGAGAAACATTGATCTATGTAAAACATTTTCACGCGATGGAGCTTTGTGTACGGTTTGTAAATATGGTCCACCAGTCAGTCCACACAGAGTGAGAATGTTGGATGTCTTGCAGAAAATCCATGCTTAGTATTAAATTTTTCTTAGGTGTATGTTGAAACATGATTGAAACTGCATTCAGCTTTCGGTGTCGGTTTCCTAAGTGTATAAAGTGTGAAGAGTAAGGTTCCATATTTCTGTACTTGTGTTGTCATCAGCTATGGAATCATAGATTGGTGTGTTACCTTTAGCTAATTTTATTCACCCTATTATATATTATGTCATCTTGGTGTATCTCGCAACTGCCTGTTTTTTTTTTTAATTTTGAAAACTCCGATCTAATTTTCACAGTTCGAGCTTAATGGAAGCACTCAAGTATTTTTGTATTAAGTCGGGTATTATGGCTGATGATAAACAGTTTTCTCGGCAAGCTGAATTGACACTTTATTAGAAATCGCTTGCTAAAAGGGTATTATATAGAATTATTTCTGAATTCTACTTCCACTGAAAGTCATACCATTCGTCAAATGTTTGCTGTTAAAAATGAACTGCGTCGATAATGTGGAATTTCTTTCAGCACTATGATTAGCTGACACATGAAGACCTATAGTATTGGTCACTCGCAGAGATAACTTGTCCAGTTTATTACATGGAACATTAGGAAATCCAAACGGTTAGCTCTGGAGCCTTGGTTATTGGATTAAACGATTCACTCCTAAGCATTGGGTCATGAGTTTAAATCCCGTCCTCCCCCTTTACTGGGATTTTGACAGTCATTATCTAGTGTTCTGAAAGTGGTTTGACAATATTGCAAACTGTATATCAAAGCAGATATATGTTGAGTACTATCCGTCACTCTCATTTGCATCTTTCAGATGGATTGTCTACTTATTGTTTCCTCATAATTTTAATGTTTTCAGCTAAAACCTAAAGAGAAAATATTTAGAATAAAGAATATTTAACTGATGATTGTGAATATGTCTTCATTTCCAACCAAATGTACAGTCGTATTTATATTACGGAAGAAAAAAAGGCATTATGTGGCATTAGAAACTGTTCAGTCACTATTGCACATCTGATAAGAATAAAGATAATTAAAATGTGATGCAATAAGGGAGTAAAGTTGAAGTGGATGAATTACAAAACTTTTGAAGATGATTAAATAAGTGAACTGGTATAAAGACTTTGAAGTTGTAGGTCAAATGTTGTCTAGAATACTAACAGAACGATGATGATAACAAAAAAAGACCGCGAAGACAAAGTGAGGCGAGATTGATTTCAAGTGGTAAAATAGAATAAAATAAAAGAACATTACCATGACCAAGGTAAAGAAAGGGGTTTAAAAAAGTTTTTGAACAGATAATTTAGGTTTCTGTCTATGTATAGCTAGATCTTCGGCTATGCATAAGTGGAGAAAAAGTAAGCTTTTGGAGTGATTGGATTTGGTCCTGTAAATAACTTTGAAGGATAAATCACGTGGGATTGAATGACGTGACTCCAGAAGGTGTTTACAGATTGAAGAATTTCTCGTCATATGCTCACCTTTTTACTGACCAAATCGGATGATTTTTGGCTACGCGTTTACAGAGAACACTCTTACAGCCTCCAATGCAATCAAGTCCACCCGAGCATGTGAATAAGTATACGCACATAGAGGTGGAAAGAAGTGGTAGTTTATTCTTGGCGCATTGTCGAATCATATTTCAGCTGATGAATATTAAATATAAGTCAGCTGGATGAAAAGAGCGTTTGAAACGTTTAGATAAACGACTTTTAATTACTTCAGAAATTGCGTCACCTTGAAAAGCCGAACTCATAAACAGTGTCTTCTTTGGAACTGTGATTTGACTGGGGATAGCTTCTTTCTCAATGTTTCTGTTAATAAATCTTCTAGAATACCTATTATTTAAGAGAATTGTGCAAAGGTTTTCTAGTTCAATCTCAACCGTATCTATAGAACAAATATTCCGAATTATGGAGCACAGAGAACGGATAAGATTTCTCTTCCTACCTAGAGGTACCCAACTGTTGAAGTTAGTGTACTGCCCTGTAAATGTTGGCTTTCGACAAATCGACCATTTTAACGTACCGTCATCTCTTCTATCTACCATCACATCTAAGAAGTGAAATGCGGAGTTCGATTCTTTTTCGACAGCGGAAAGCATCGATGGGCGAGCACTATTAAATTTTTCAACCAGCCCGGCAGCTGGACAATTATCATTAACAATTTGAAAATTTCTATACCAGTTCACTTATTTAATAATCTTCAAAAGTTTTGTAATTCATCCAGTTCAATTCTACTCCCTTAATACATCCTTTTAATTATCTTTATTCCTACCATATGTACAATATTGACTGATCAGCATAAATGGAAGGAACCTGAAAGAAACAACCTCTTTTACCTACCTGGGAAGCATCGTTTCAACTACAGGCGGAACTGACGAGGATATCAAAGCAAGAATCGGAAAAGCAAGAAAAGCTTTCACTACTCTCAAGTCTGTATGGAGACCAATAGCGTTCAGCATGCAAAATAAGATCCGGATTTTCAACTCCAATGTGAAGTCAGTGCTACTATACGGATCAGAGACTTGCACTGCGCGTCATAAAGAGCATCTCAAACAAACTACAGACCTTCATTAACAGTTGTCTTCGCTGAATACCACTCAAGATCAGATGGCCGGCCAGAAAAGATCAGCAACAGAGATCTCTGGGAGCGAACCCACAAATAGGCACGAAGAAATGGAGATGGATTGGCCATACTCTGAGGAAACCGTCAAGTGACATCACTAGACAAGCCATTGCTCGAGTGGAACCCGCCGAAAGGGAATTAGCGAGTTGGTCGTCAGTGCAAGGGTGACTTGGAGGAGGTCATGTGAAGAGGAGATGAAAACGTGTGGGCAGACTTGGAGCCAGGCGAAGATTCTAGCAGAGAACCGAACTCAATGGAGACGCACGGCTGAAGCCCTATGTTCCTCTAGGAATTAAAGGAAACAATAATAATAATAATTTCTAGTGCCACTTAGTGCCTTCATTCTCTTCAGTAATATAAATATGACTGTACAGTTTGTTGGAAATAAAGTCGTTGAGTGGAGAAAGATTTCTCCTTTGAAGTAAAATAAAGCTGTTTTTTTTCTGATGAATTAATGAGCATATTTCGCGAGTTTGAATATATATATATTTAAATATCTGAGTCGAATACTTTAATATATTTTCTGTAACACCAAAGCGATTACTTAAAATTTCATCGGTTTGTTTTATCGTAAAATAAAATGTCATTCTCTTTAAAAAGAAGTCATAACACACAAACTGTATATTTTACAAAAGCCCATGACACTGAGATTTCAACGTATTAATGTAGCACACAGTGTGATGTAGCATAATTTATTTACTAGGGATTTTTTGAGCACAATTTATTGTTCATTATAATAATAATAATGATAATAATAATAACAGCTTAGTATCATAAATTTTGTGTTTTTTTTACAGTAGTTGTAGTAGAAGTATATAGTGTTCAACTGATGATCATATGTTGAAATCACTTTCACTCACTGTGTGTTGACAACAGCTCACGTGAATACTTCATTTGCTCGCTTAATAGGCTTTTATTGTTCTCAAATTGTTTATTTAAGTAAATTGGCAAAATAACTGTATGCTAATTAACATTGTAATCAGTAATAATAATAATGATAATAATGGGTTTATTTTGAAAGATAGCTATTTACATAATATAGAATGTTTTCAGAGTGTTTTGTAGTAGTTTATGTTATTATTATTATTATTGAAACCAAAACATAGTGCATTATAAACAACAAGAGATTCACTAAGAGATTAGATATTGCCTGGACACCCAGACTGAAACAGAAGGTTGCCTCAAGGTACCATTTCCTGAGCTTGTGAGCAATCGCGGAGATAGTTGAAGAGAAGTTCAGGGAACAGAGTGAAATAAAGATGTATTGTTGAAGCCCTATGCCTCACTCGAAATCCAAGGAAGTACTAAACCCGTATTAAAAATGCTGAGATTTCGACCCCGGACCACGTCCGTGGTTGGTGAGCATTCTAGCACTGAACCACTGACGCAATAATTATAATACAATAAGTAAAAACAATAAAAATAAACAAAATTATGTCAAGAATGTTACTGTGACCACAGTAAGTTGAGTGAGTTTATACAGTGCTTTTAAATGTTGAAGTCCAGTTCCAGGTCCTGAATAGTCAGTGATTCAACTGTGTACAAATAACGTATTCGAAGTCTTCTTGTGATATGGTGAAACAATCATTGCAGAGATGCCCGATATCTAGACTTAACAAGGTGTTTTTGGTTGGAACTACTTGCATTCTTCTTTTCTTCTCTAACTAGCCAAGCTTGGCAATGTTCTGAAATACATTAATGGACTTTACGCTGTGTACATCCTTCTAGAGCACACGTCACATCACATAATACATTTTCTAAAACATAGTTAACAGAATCTGACTGATTTTATAAGAATTCTTAGTTAAAAATAATTACCACTATAAAATTACCTGAAACTATCCTAGCATGTTTAAACAATCAAAACAAGATTTTCCCGAATGTTTTGACGTGTAAGGCACAGCGTCTTAAACATGATAAATGAGGCTTTGGCTTGCTTACACGTCGAAATGTTCAGAAAATCTTGTTTCGATTTTCTAAACTCACTGGAATCATTTTAAGTAATTTTATAATGATTCAGTCTGACTTAGTGCTGTGGTCTAGATATTCATAAATGTAAATACGATGTAAAGCACACCGTCTTGACAACGATCCGTTGAACAGGAAATTTTCTTCACTGTTACGTTTTCTTTTTATCAATGACTCAATATGTGGATTTTCCATTATAATAAAGTTTTTTTTAAATTTCCCAATGATTGAAAAAGATCAAAGCGATATTGTTGTTTTTACTGACGTTTCGCTACTAAGTGCTGCTAACAGCTTTATCAAAATAATATTAAACCAGAATATAAAAAATTTCAGCTTGCATTATATAACAACTTAATCACCGTTCATCGAGCATAGGGTAATTTTTGCGTTGTCAAGTTGGCCAATTGGTAAAGATAACAAAACCAAGTGTAGATTGTCGGATTTGATAAGTGTATGAATTTATAAAAGTGACCTTGTCCATATAAAAGACCAAATCCCTAAAGATTCTCTATTCAATTGTGTCTATAAAATAAAATGCTTGGAGTGTGATGAGATAGACATCGAACAAACATTACAAGGAATTAAGATCAGAGGAAATGAACACCGTTGAGCGTCAGTTCGACTACCAAGAAATCCTGTTGAACTAGAAAAGCTTGAAAAATCATCAGGCATAAGTCTACACCCTATAGAATCAGGTCACAAAATCGATTTCGACAGTATTGAAATAATCCGGAGAAATTTCAGAAACCACAAAGAACGTCTATTATCACAAGCCAGGACTTCATATCAAATGGAATTCAAATTGTCTGATGAATAGGAATGATGGACTTAAACAGAATTTATATAAATGATGAAATAAAACAGATAGAAGGGGCGTTGGTGTTAAATAACTATCCCTTAAAATTCATTAGGAAGATTGAAAAAGGCCAAAATAAAAAGAATTATGAAACTAGTAATAATAATATAAATAAGAGAGAATATAAGTCATCTACAGTTATACCATATAAAGAGGGGACATCTGAGACCCTACGTAGGATTCTAAATAAAGCAGGAATTAGGGTGGCATTCAAACCTACAAACTCACTCAGGGACAAGCTCTGTAAGTTAAAGGACCCAGTTGACCCAATTAGACAAAATGATATCATTTACAAAATACCTTGCAATGACTGTGAGGTCAACTACATAGGTCAAATTAGTAGGTCAGGGGTAGTCAGATTGTCAGAACATAAGAATTTAGCTAAGGTAAGAATGGTTGATCCAGAGAAGATGAGTAATTTAGAAAAAAGCTCAGCAATTGCAATGCATGCATTAACACACAACCACACAAAAGGGTGGGAGACGGTTAAAATTCTAAAAAGTAATCTAGGTAGGTGGAGAGAGAGGTTGATTACTGAATCCTTGTTCATCGAATCTACACCCAACACATGCAATAGGAATGAATCATCACTCATACCCGAAATATGGAAAATAATACTACCAATCAAATCAAGTGAAAAACAACGGAACTATATAAATGAATTTAGGAAGTCGTGTGATTACCTTGATATGATTATGAGCAATAAATTGTGCTCGAAACGTCATCAGTAAACATTACTGTATAACACTGTGAGACTTTATAAAAAAAATTTACCCATAATGGAATTAAACAGAATTTCACCTGGCTACAACACCCACCTCCATAATGAAATGACAAAATCAACACGAAAGTGGTAAGCAATTTCGTCATATAAACACACACTGTTTTTATAATTTTATACACTTATCAAATTCAACAATCTTCACATGGTTTTGTTATCTTTACCAATTGGCAAACTTGACAACGTAAAATTTACCCCATTCTGATGAAGGATGATTACGTTGTTATATAATGCAAGCTGAGATTTTGTAAATTCTGGTTTAATGCTACTACCTTGATAAAGCTATTAGCAGCAGTGAATAGCGAAACGTGAGTGAAAATAACAATATCGGTTCGCTTTTTTTCATTCATTGGGAAATACCCAATGCCCAAGTTTTTTAAAACTATTTAAACTGGGGATTTTCCTTTCATTAAAAATGTGATTTTTGTGTTTTCCCTCAATCTTCTTTTTAAAAATCTATATAGAATGGTATTAGTTTAGCTGATCCATTATTGGATTTACAAAATTTTCGACGTCGTTCATATATAGACGAATCTCTTGAAATGTCATCACAACAATTAACAACTAATGGTTCTGATAGTTCAGTGAAATCAAAAATATCTGCTAATGTTGGGTGTTCACTTCAACGTCTTATTGATTTTCCATGTGAAAACATGCTCCTTCTACGACATCATCGACTACACGAAGAAGAATCAGAGGAGAAATCATCCTCGAAGTCGAGAGCATTTAATATTCTTCGGAAGAAATCGCAAACAATTAATGGGAAGAGTAAATATCAATTGGTGTTTTATTATTTATTCATTTTGTAGTGTGTGTTATATCTTTTTTCCTTATTCTTCCTTTATAGTTTGTCATTATCTTCAGATTGTGTTTAGTACGTTGTTGAGCCGTTTGTTTGCTTCTTAGTCTATTGACTGAAACTTGTTAAATATGTACCCTGTGTTTGGAATATCTCAGAATCAGAGAGATTATTATTATTATTTTACTCGAGTGGAAACATAGGACTTCAACGGCACATTTTCACTCCACGTGATTCTCTGGAGGGACCTCCAACCGTCTTTAGATTTGTCCACAAGCCTTCATTCCCTCCTCACATAGTCCTCTTCATGTCATTCCAGATACCCACCTCGTCGTCGCTCACTCGGATCCCACTCGAGAGCTTTGCATGTGATTTCAATTCATCTCTTGACTAGTTTGCAGCAAGATTCCCTTTTTGCTTATCCTCTAGAGCCATCTGATCCTCATTATCCAGTGAAAGCATGTATTGGTAAATGTCTACAGTAGCCTGTTGGAAACGATTCTACGGAATTGACCAATATCTAAACTATAGAGAAGCCCTTGCTTGACAATGTTCTTTATCCTTGTGCTGAATGCCGTAGATCCCTATATTGATCTCAGAGTAGTGAACAACGTCTCTCTTGATTTCGGGATCTTACCCCTGCTGGCTTTGTGTTATGACAGAGTGTTACTGGTTTGTGGTTATTGTCTAACTTGACTGAGATAGATTTAAAGTCAGTTTGAACTGCAGCAGCGTTTATCAGACAATTACATGGTAAATCATATTTACAAAACCTCAGAAATTTAATCCGTAAATAAAAGAATCAAAAGCTGTTCAGTCAGGTTGTCATGTCAGTACATGCATAAATTGTGACTTCGCGGTTAGCAAAGAAGCTTGTCCGTCCTAACACTTTGACATCCTCATCCACACAATGAAAAATGGGAACTAAATCTACTTTTTTTGAAAAGAGTTTCCGACTTTCCAGCTGGAAAGTTATTTGAAGTTAAGACTACAGTTGCTTTGCTTATAAATTCTTAAAGTGGAAAATACGAAACAGAGAATATATTCCAAGTGGATTTCTTTTTTGACTATCTAAGCCTATGCCATAGAAGAAGTGTGTTGTTATGATGTCGCCACTTTTATATTTTGCAATACATTGAGTTGCATAGGGACCATAAATAACGCTAGTCTAAAGCCCTCGGTTTGAACCTCAAGGGGAACTGATAAGTGGGTCGGCTGAGGGTGACATGGAAGAGATCGTGCGAGGAGGAGATGAGACATTGTATGCAACTATGGGGTCAGCTAAAGAGGACCACAGGGAATCGGGCAAAGTGGAGGTGTGCAGCTGACGTCCAAGAGAACCATAATATAATAAATTATGCCAACAATATTAGATGACAGCTACCTGTTAACCAGCCCAGCCTACTTAAGTGAGGAGGTAAGTCCAGTGTCAGTATCAATCATACTGTATCTGTATACATGGTCACTGACGTAGGCGTGAGAGAAGATAACCATAAAAGGACAATTCATTGTTTATCTGTCTACATCTCTAAAATACACTTATTCAGAAAGCAGTCTAAACTAAATTAATTTAAAGGAAGCTGGGGGGGGGGGGTTGGTGAAAAATGACTAACTAGTGATAAAAGCGTCAGTGGCTCAGTAGTAGAACACTGGTAGACTAAGCAAGTTGTCCTGAGTTTGTTCCCCAGCCGATGCACTCCTTCACCTCACCTAGCCGGTAGTTAATCTGGTAAAGAGAGAAGGTTGGGCGTGAGGCTAGCAGCCTCACCCCGTAAAACATAGACACGTCTGCTACTTTTGTGACAAACATCTCTTGAAATCTGAGAGCATGACTACCATGCCTACCATTTCTCAATGAAGACATTGCCACACTTTTGTAACAGCAGAAGACAAGACACAGAAGCCAAGGTATATTTTTCATTGACCAAACCGCTATTTATAAATATACAGTTTATATTCTTAATCCAATCACTGAGCGTGTGATTTTGGTTTTCATCAAACGACATGAGATAGAATGCTCAAATATACAAAGTATTCTTTTGTTAATGCAGTAAATAACCGTGGGAAATGTATTCTGTCTCTAACATCACATAGAACGTTCATTCCTATGTAGTGTCAGTGGAAAATAGAGCTTCAAGCTCTGCAGTTTCAATAGTGTTGATGCTGTTTTTGTACGGTGTGATATTGTTAGCTTCACATGCCAGACCTTCCCTCTTTCCGGGAGTAACTGCGAGTTGCAGGAGTGTGCCAGCTGGGAATCGAACCTGGACCACATGCCTCTCTAGCGAGCATTATACCGCTGGACCATCGACACAAACTACATCAGATAAACTTATTAAATAGGAAATTGCATTCTACTATACACAATGCCCAAATGCTACTCTTACATTTATTACATCATTTTGAACTAGGTACTTTTCATTTCTTCCGATATATATATATGTATATATATATATACGTGCACGTAAAAGATCTGTTTCTTTCTGTCACATAACTGAGTTATTTGAACTACTTTTTTTTATTACATTACAAGTTAAAGAAGGTACATCCTCAACTTCTACTGGTTTACAATCAACATCAAAATTAGCATTGGCATTATCACCAATACCGTCAGCCAGTCTACGTTCAGTAATTCAGCATTATTTAACAAAACAATCAATGTTAACTTTACTCGATATGTTGGCTAAAGATGTTGAAAAAGAACGTCGTACTAAAAAGGGTAAGTTATTTTTGTATCAGTGTTCGTGTCTCTCAATAATTGAATCAAGTGCCTTATGAAAACCTTCAAATCGTAGTTATACTTAAACAAGTAGTTCAAATATAATTTTTGTGTTTGATGAGGGATTGATATCAGTTAGAGAACTACTGAAAAAAGAACACGTAGTAGTGGACAACTGTTTCGTCCTAGTTTGATACTCTTCACCAGCACGTAGCCATGACCCCCATCCCAACAGCTGAAAGGTTAACCAGCAAGCTCTGTATAACCTGAAGGTACTAGATTCAACTCCTGGTGGGTTGGTTCATGGGTGCGTACTGGTGAAGTGTACCAAACTAGGAAGGAACAGCTGTCCAGTACCACCTGATTTTCAATGGTTCTCTGACTAGTACCAAACTTTGATGAAACTTTAAATCAAATTAATTCCTACAAGTTAAAACTTGAAAATTAATCAGATTCCCACTAGTGATTTGCTACAGGAAAAAGTTGCCTGGAACTCTAGTGAAGGAAGTCATGACCAGTGGGGTCCACCAGGTCACGCGTGAGGACATATACTAGTCGATGCATTGGCTAGTTGTGGCGCTAAAAATTGAGAGTTGTCAAAAGTTAGAATTTATGGACCATAGTATATCCACTTACCCGTTTATATTGTTTCACTGTAGTCACTTGGAATGCAGCTTGGATACAGTGGACAGGATCCTTTTCACTAATCTCTATTGCTTTTCGAGTTTGATCACGGATCGCTATCAGTTAGAGAACCATTGAAAACCAGCACTGGAGTATTGGACAGCTGTTTCGTCCTAGTTCGGGAATCATTGGCAGTGAACACCCACTGGGTTTCTAACCCGGGACCTTCCAGCTACAAGGCAAGCTCGTAGACCATTGAGTCAGATCCCAGTGGGTGAATGGTCTACGAGCTACCTTGTAGCCGGAAGGTCCTGGGTTCAAAACCCAGTGGATGCATACTGCTGATGATTCCCAAACTAGGACGAAACAGCTGTCTAGCACTCCCATGTTCTATAATCGTTCTCTAACTGACTTCAGCTCATGATAAAATACTGTAATAAATCAACCAGATCCCTGCAAACCAACGCTTGAATATCATCAGTAATAGGTAATACCTATCAATTATTTATTTATGCTCACTTGTGTAATGTGCTGTATAACAGTCATGTTAAGTGAAATAATCTCCGAAAGAAACAGAACATCTCAAATATCTTCTCAGGAGACGTAGGCTGGAACGTTGGGCAAAGCATCTCGAGAAGCAAGTAGTTCAGTTGATCTGCAGCTGCAGTACGATTGCCTTCCGTCTAACCGCTACCAGAATGCAATGTACACATTGTCCTCCCAACCTTAAGTGAGATTGTGAAAGCTGTGTGTGATTTAAAGCGAAGCGTACAAGCTAGAGCTGAATGTATAACTCCTTAACTGTCTAAGTTTGTCTGAAATCAGTTATTGACCAAATTAAACTGGTTAAGTGTAAATTGCACATAGTGTGCTAATTTTTCACCAATGATTTCATTTCGTCAATGCACTATTCTTCCTTTAATTGAATGAAATGGAATGTAGCTCATATAAAATTCTAAACTCAGGTGAAATGAGATGGAATTTCGAAATAATATTTACACATAAATGTATATATATTTTTATAATCTTATAGTTATTATATATTCCAACTATTTTAATATTAAACTATAAAATGTCCTGTGGATTTAGCTAGAAAAGTTATTCACTGTCAGTGTCACTTCTAGTAGTTTGGATTGACTGTTCTCAATAGCTTATGCGTCAAATAAATTATTTCTTAGTGGATGAAAAGAGATTCTAGATCAGAATTCTTCATGAATTGTGATAATCTGTAAGAAAAACGTAGCAATACTGTGAACAGTTGTTCTCTCCTGTGTCTTGGAATGCTTTAAAACAACAGTTACTTAATCTCACACAGTTATGTATATAATATTTTGAATAAAAATCATTCTTTCTCACAAATTAAATTTCTAAAAGTTGCTGTTGTTGTTATTAAGAAAGTTCATACACTGCTGTAGTATACTGTAACTCGATCTTGTTTTGCATACTTCACCATAGCTGTGTAAACCGATCTAATAATAATAATAATAATAATAATAATAATAATAATAATAATAATAATAATAATAATTGTAAATAAAATGACAGTTGGATAAGATACACTCATAAAATCGCTAACTATTCGAAAAATCCCTTCTTATAAAGATAGATTCTGTAGGCAAAGTAAAAAGGCTAAAACTTGTGCACTGTGGTAGAGTGTAATTCCATTATGGGTAAATTTTATTTTGATAAAGTCTCACAGTGTTATACAGAATGTTTAGTGATAACGTTTCGGGCACAATTTATTGCTCATAATCATATCAAGGTAACCACACGACTTCACAAAATCATTTGTATAATTCCGTTGTTTTTCACTTGATGTGATTGGTAGTAATATTTTCCTTATTTCGGGTATGAGTTATGAATCATTCCCATTGCATGTGTTGGGTGTAGATTCAATGAACAAGGATTCAGTAATCAACCTCTTTCTATCTCCACCCACCTAGATAACTTTTTAGAATTTTAACCCTCTCCCACCCTATTGTGTGGTTGTGTGTCAATGCATGCATTGCAATTGCTGAGCTGTTTTCTAAATTACTTATCTTCTCTGGGTCAACCATTCTTACCTTAGCTAAATTCTTATGTTCTGACAATCTGACTACCCCTGACCTACTAATTTGACCTATGTAGTTGACCTCACAGTGATTGCAGGGTATTTTGTAGACTATGTTATTTTGTCTAATTGGGTCGATAGGGTCCTTTAACCTACAGAGCTTGTCCCTGAGTGAGTTTGTAGGTTTAAGTGCCACCCTAACTCCTGCTTTATTTAGAATCCTACGTAGGGTCTCAGATGTCCGCTCTTTATATGGTATAACTGTAGATGACTTATATTCTCTCCTAACTATCCATTAAAATTCATTCATTAGCGATCGAATGGTGGTATTATTATTATTCTCTTCGGTTCCGAGTGGAACATAGGACTTCAACATCACACCCGCCCTACTTTGTTCTATTTGGTGGTGTCTTACTCTGTTGGACCCATGATTGTCCATAGTCTCTCATTTCCTCCTTCCATGATCTGCTTCATGTCACCGTCGCACTGACGACTCACTTATCGTTTCCCATTTAGGCCCCACTCGAGCAACGGCATGGCACGCTATTTCAACCGAATGTGCCCTCAGTATCTCTTCGATCCATCTCCATGTCTATTGGAATATTTATTGAACAATACGTTCTTGGTTAGTTTTTCCCTTAATTTCTTGTTGATAATTCTTTCTGGCCATTCGGTCTTGAATATGGAACCAGTGAAGGCAGCTGTTGATAAAAGTCTCGCCTTTCCTATTCTGGTTTTGACATGCCCACCCGTGCCGTCACGTGTAGTTGAAATAATGCTTCATAGATAAATGAACTTTATTCCGTTGATAGTGCTCTAGCTTACTAGTACTTGTTAGTGTTCGTTGGTAATGTTCATCATCCCTGCCTTCTCCATTTTCATCTGAAGTTTTGTCTTTCCTGCTTCTTCAGCCAGTTTTTTGGTATTTGCCTGCAAATCTTCGAGTTTATATGAAATTAGACACAAATCATTTGAGAAGTACTACAGGACTTCTAGAGTCTTCTTATCGGATTTCAGTCTTCTCGCCCCCCCCTCCCCAACGGTCCATCATATTTAGGCAGGCAGCCTTTTCTTACTCCTGCATTCACTTTGAACGCCTCATTGAGTTTTCCGTGGTATATCACGTGAAACGTCGCATTGTCATATAACTGTTGAATGAAGTTGATAAAGGGTTGCGCACTGGACGCTATGGTGCGTCGGTGGCACAGCGGTTATGACTCTCGCCGACCTTGCACATGGTCTGGGGTTCGATCCCCTGCCGACTCACACCTGATATCTATGGTTGGCCTGTAAAATTTGGGCTACCAATATCGCATGCTGAAAATTCCATACCTGTACCAGAAAATGCGGTGTGGAATCAAGCTGTAATCAAAAAATAAAATAAAATGGTATTGAAGTAGTTTCCAAATTATTTCACGGTCAACGCTGTCGGTTGAAATGGACTCTCTTATTCTTTATGTCATACAGTGTAACCATGCATCTTTACTTGCTATTCATTTATTCGATATCGACAATAAGTTAGTTTATTCACACTACTGTTTTTTTAATAATAATGTATTGCACTTTTAAAACTAAAACTTGTTCTTACTGTGTGTTTAAGAAGGATTGTTCTGTGTTAGTAAGATTTATTAGATGTGTATAATTTTCCGGTCACTGCCAACATTTGATACTGTTACACAGGTGGTCGATTGCCAATTCAACCTCCCGCCTCCAAATACTGGTTCACAGTGCTAAGATTAACATTCTCAAATGATTACGGTTGAGACAGTCTTTGAGTTATTGTGTAGTCGTGTAATTTGATATCAACTACGCTGGTTTGAGTGAACTGATTGAGTCATCCGGACTGGAAGCATAGATGTGACTTACACAATACTGTATAAATGTGCCAATAGTTATTGAGTTAATTTTATTCATCTATCACTTTGCATGGATCTGATTGGTTTCAAGGTAGATCATGGATTGATGTCAGTTAGAGAACCATTGAGAAATAGAGAATACTGGACACTTTCCTCGTCCACTGGAGATCAAACCCATGACATGAAGGTTGTTAGGTGAGCCCATTGACCATTTAGCCACAGAGACAGAATCCGATCGCCCATGAATTTTAAATACCGCGTCATCGTCGGCCAGTTTCATCAGCGAGTATTTGTCGCTCTCTCCAATCTAGTGGAGATCACTTGTCCCAAACTAGGACGAAACAACTGTTTAGTAGTACTTCTTGGTTTTCAGTGATCCTCTAACCGATGTCAGTCTGTGATCCAACCTGAGATACATGTGTTTTTATTTATTTGTTTTATTATGTTCACTAATACTTTGGTCTCCATCTCAACTATTTGTTTTCATCATTCAGGGTTAACAAATCTAGTTCAAGTATACGCCCATCAACCAGCCTATACAGATATGAATACACTTATGGAAGCACGTCGTCGTTTATACTTCTCTCGAGTACGTCTCACTTATCTAACATGTTGTCGCCAAAAATTGGCGCATAATTTAAAACAGCTGCATGCATTAGAAACTATGGGTGACAGTAATTCAACAGGCAATTCAACACTAACATCATCAGATATCGAATTACCTTTGTGTTTAAGTCAAGCTGGCTTCTCAAAATTAGTTCTAGATTCACATATATCACCTGAGCAAAGCAATAACAATACTGGTATTATTAACAGTTCTATGGACCACGGTAAAAAGTCCTATTTGATTACATCTCGTTGGGTGCATCTACCTGATTTGGACAGATTGCCTAATCATGGAGGAAATTTAATCGGTAAGCTAAAGAGGGGAAATTTAACTTTTTCTTCAAATGTATTATTATTGTCATATTATTACTGCCTTAGGTTTCAAGTGGAACTTAGAGCCTCAATAGCACATTCCTATTCAGTTCCCTTCCCTAAAGTTTTCTTTCGCCAGACTGTAAGATTTCTCGTAAGTTATTATCTTCGACTCACACGGTCTCTTTCCTGTCACCCTTGTACGTTGAACTCGTTAGTTCCCATTCAGGCTCCATCCGATGGTCTGCCTGCTACGTTATGTCACTCGGTGTTTTCCTCAACGTATGCTCAGTCCATCTTCATTTCTTTCTGTATATCTGTTTTCCAGTATGTCAGAGTTACTTGTTGCTTATCCTTTCTGTCGGGCTATCTCATCTTCAGTACTAAGCGAAAGTCTCCATTAGCCTGTTCTAAATGACTTTGGTGATGTGACAAGTCGCTGAACGATGTAGAAGTATTGACTTGAAAATAATGGTTACCATGCCTTGTAATGAATGCTGTAGATCTCCTCCCTGATTTCAGTGAAACGAACGCTTGTCTTGCTTTCTTGATCCCAGATTTAAACAACATCTGTCTATTAATTTCACAGACAGATTTTGAGCTGTTGCTTTTTGTACCTTTAATTAGTGATATGAAGAAAAATTATATAACCCATCAACCTGTTGGTTTAAACAGAAATACTTAAACTACCTCGTAAACATAAGTTTATTGTGCATACATTGTAATAGTTCAATTTTTAACAGATTGGTTATAAGAGTGTAAATAGTTTTCTAACTGTTTGAATGGTCTTCTTTCGTAAGAATTCTTCGGACCATCATTATGTGTAAAATGTTTAAGACAGTTATATAATTACGTTTGATTGTAGTGCGTATTATGCACAATGCTATCTAAGACTGCTAAAAAGCATACATTGTTAAAGTTTGCTTCAGACGTAGTTTATATGATGAAGCGACTATTTTGGCGAACTTATAAAGCCTGTTGATAGTGCTGAAAGATATTGACAGTTGGATTTGTTGTCTACAGGTTACTAAGACTATAACGTCGTTTTGAATGTATCATGGTAATTACTCAGAGGCCTTAAGATGATACACTGCACAATCAGATCCTTCTCATACTTTTACGTTCCGAGCGGAATACAGGGCTCTGCAGTTTTAGTAGCCCTTGTAGCGTTTTTACGGATTGAGGTTGGTCGCCCAACCCTCCATTTTTCTGATACTGTTACCGCCTAGAAGAGGTTCGGAAGTGCGTCGACCGGGAAGTGAACCCCAGCACCTACGTACGTGGCTAGTGGGTATTCATCCTTAAAATCAGTCACTCAGTCATTTCCAGGGCAGAGTGCATACAACCCTCTTCGAACCTTTCACAGTATCATTAGGTTGCGTACTATTCCATCTCCCTTGGCAAATCTGGCAACGAAAATTCATGAGGACACTAACAAAACATATGACAGACACAATCGTGTTGTGTGTCTTGATTATCGTGTTTTAGATGATCAAGTTTTTTTCAATAATATACTACTTATTTCGTTACAATTCTATCGTTTTATCATTTACAGAATGGCCTCCATTCCCAGTTAACGACATTGTAAATGAAGATCTTACTGATAGTGTTTTCCAATGGGATATTGAAAATATTCGTGAATGCCTGCATACACAAAACTCATATTGGATATTAGAAAATGCCATCAACAATGACAATAGTCTAGAAACTCATCATGAAACCATATCGAATTGTACAGATTCTAAATTATCTGCTAATGGACATGATGATAATAATCAACAGTCGTCTGGTAAAGAATTCTCAAACAATCAGTCCAATTTCACCGCAATTACAATTAAATCAACTAAAGATAAACGGGATGGAAGTGCTTCACGTTCAGCGATACCAGAAGTGAAGAAATCCAATGATACTACTAAAGGTACATTGCGCATTAGTGATACTAGTGATACTAATGAGTCAGGACACGGACGTCAGTATACACCTTCGAATCGATCCTCTAAACAAGTTATTTCAAAGGGAAAATCACCAGATTTGTCTACAGCTGGAGGGAAACAAATAAAGCCTACTTCTGGTATCTCTACTACTATTACTACTAATGGGGCTAAGAATACACTACTACTACTACTACTACTACTACTACTAATTTTTCAAAGGATTCCCTTAGTGGGTCAAGAAAGCCAATTATAAAAACACCAACACTAGCAGTAGATGAGATTGAGGCAGATGACTCTGTGATAAGTTCTGTCTCGTCTCCTTCAACCGCTCCAATCACTCGTTCGCCATCGACTACTACTACTGCTACTACTACTACTGTGAACAGCAAAGTGTCTAAAGAAAACTTAACTGTAAGTTGTAGTATTTTGATAGTATCATAGTTTTGCGCTTTTCTTCTTCTATTGGCAGAAATAATGAAGTGATTGTACTGAAGTGGTTTATGTTTTAAAATCGTTTAACGAAGTCATTTAAAAGTCTTTATTAGCTGCTTTGCTTACCGACTTGTTGCAGACATGAACTATATTCAACCTGGTATTCGCGGTCTGACTTCACCTATGCTATTGTAGACCACCTAGTGATCTAGGAGACAGAAAAGAAGATTACTTTTCATGATAACCTCCCCATCTCTCCCGCGATAGTTATTTATGCACACTATATGTAAAGTGTAATTTTTATCGACAGTATGGATGCTTTTTAAACAATAACGCGTTGTTAAAATTGACAAAATTACAGTTCAAAAGAGCATGTGTAAGTGTGATAATATGCAAAAAAATATAATAATGAATTGAATGTCAGTTAAAATTAAGAAGAAAATGTATGCGACAGTCAGAGATAGTCAAAAACAATGATGACCAAGGTGTAGGTAAAGCGTCTGAAGGAACGGGGAATCAGGGTTCGATACTGGAGAGGGAGCCTGAGAAATCGCTACCACATCCAAGGACGGCAGCAGGCGCGAAAATTACCCACTCCCGGCACGGGGAGGTAGTGACGAAAAATACGAATACCGGACTCAATTGAGGCTCCGTAATTCGAATGGGTACAATTTAAATCCTTCAATAAGGACCGATTGGAGGGCAAGTCTGGTGCCAGCAGTCGTGGTAACTCCAGCTCCAAAAGCGTATATTAAAGTTGCCGCAGCTAAAAAGCTCATAGTTGAACCTGGGTTGTGCGGTCACATGCCGTTGCTTGTTCGTGGTTTTGGTTACAATCGGAACTTGTGTTCGGCTCGGTGTAGTGGTTGTGCAGCCTCTCAGTGGTATCTGTGTAAACGGGTGCTGACGGAGATGGGTGAGCTTGTATTGCCCGCTATCTGTTGGCATGCTTCCGGATGCCTTTAACCGGGTGTCGGGAGCGGACGGTATCTTTACTTTGAACAAATTTGAGTGCTCAATGCAGGCCATTGTGCCTAGAAATTCTTGCATGGAATAATGAAATAGGACTTCGGTTCTATTTTGTTGGTTTTCGGATCCGATGTAATGGTTAGGAGGAACAGATGGGGGCATTTATATGGTGGTATTAGAGGTGAAATTCTGGGATCATCGCCAGACAAACTACAGCGAAAGCATTTGCCAAGAATGTTTTCATTGATCAGGACGAAAGTCAGAGTTTCGAAGACGATCAGATACCGTCGTAGTTCTGACCATAAACGACGCCAACTGACTATCCGCGATGGTCCTAAAATTGACATTGTGGGTAGTCCCCGGGGAACCTTTAAGTCTTTGGGCTCCGGGGGAAGTATGGTTGCAAAGCTGAAACTTAAAGGAATTGACGGAAGGGCACCATCAGGAGTGGAGCCTGTGGTTTAATTCGACTCAACACGGGAAAACTCACCAGGCCCGGACACTGAGGATTGACAGATTGAAAGCTCTTTCTTGATTCGGTGGATGGTGGTGCATGGCGTTCTTAGTTGATAGAGCGATTTGTCTGGTTAATTCCGAAAACGAATGAGACTTTAACCTACTAAATAGTAGATTGCATAAGTTAGGCTTCCTAAAGGTGGATTCAAATAGCCTAAGCTATATATAAAAGACAAACTTATTAAGAAATATTGACATTAGTCGGAATATGATGGATAACTTTAAAAGCTTTGTTAACATCCAACTTTATCTCCAAGATGAGGTAAAATAGAATTAAGAATATATATATATCTTATATCAATAGACACTTACTTACTTACTTTACTTAACATCGGAGGATGATATTCAGGAATCTGGTGATTGATAGTGCCTAATTGTACGCCAAATGTAACTAGCTCTATGAAAAATAGTCGAACCAGTGGTTACACATGGATGAGGCAAAAGGAATGTTCTATTTTTGTTCTTCCCAATATCTAAATGAGAATTTCTCGGCTATATTAAAATCTCACCTGATAAAGTATTGCTCTTAACACATTTAATCCTACTCCAAAAACATGGTGAAGTTATGTGGATAACACTTTCACTGTGTTAAAAACAGAACATATCTCAAGCTTCATGACACATATAAATTCACTAGTAGAGGGAATAAAATTCACATTTGAATCGGGAAGGGAACAAGGAGAATTAGCTATGTTAGATTATAAAATAAAACGAATAGAAGAAGGTAGACTGTACACTAGCATTTCTAAAAGAAGCCAACGCATTCTGCTAATAGATATTTAGACTTTAATTCATCTCATCCGTTAAGTGTTAAGGCAGGCCTAGTTAAGTGTCTAACAAACCGAGCAATAGCACTAAGTAGTACTAAAAAAGACCTAAATGATAAAATAAAACATATAGAAGAAACGTTGGTGTTAAATAACTATTTTATACAATTTATTAGGAAGATCAGAAAAGATTAAAAACAAAATACAAATAATGCTGAAACTAATAATGATAAAGTATATAAGACATCTACAGTAGTTCTACCATACAAGTATAGGAGATTTGAGACCCTACGTAGGATTCTTAATAAAGCAGGAATCAGGGTGGCATTCAAACCTACAAACTCACTCAGAGACAAGCTCTGTTGGTTGCGGGATCCTGTAGGTTGACCCAATTAGAAAAAATAATATAATTTACAAAATACCTTGCAATGACTGTGAGTGAGGTCAACTACATAGGTCAGTTACACCAGTAGATTAGGCGTAGTGAGATTATCAGAACACAAGAATTTAGCGAAGCTTAGAATGATTAGAGGTTAATTGGTGGATGGTGACTAGCAGTGGAATCCAGTGTGCGCATTTCGTCCTATTTGGGACTCGTCGTCTGGGTACACCTGCATTCCACAGTGAATGATGATGTTCCCACAAAGGCTCGAACCCAGTACCCATAGTTTCAAACGCCAAAGCGTTATGCACTAGACAACTTGGGCCACGAGAGCCACCTCTTGTCCAACGAGTCATACTAATTATTTTATTGAATTTTAGATTTTCCCATCGATTGATTAAACCGAAGTGCTCGTTCTCAGGTTGACATGTCGGCTTCTTGTGCAGAAGGTTGGAATGATTGATCCCGCGAAGTTAAGTAATTTAGATAAAGGTCACCGATTGCACTGCATGCATCAACGCACACAACCACTCAATAGGGTGGGAGAGGGTTTAAAAACTAAAAGGTAATACAGGTACGTGGAAAGAGAGTTTGATTACTGAATCTCTGCTCATAGAATCTACACCCAACACGTGCAGTAAGAATGACTCATCACTCATACCTGCATTATGGGAAATATTACTACCAATCATCAAATCAGATGAGAAATAGTGGAATCGTATAAACGCAGTTGGAAAGTTCTTTTTGAGTAACCTGATATGATAATGATCAATGGATTGTGCTCGAAACGTCATCAGTAAATAATACGGTATAACACAGTGAGACTTTATCAGAATAATTTTTAATCACAATGGAATTATACCTTACCATAGTGCACAAGTTTTATTCTTATATCAATCTTACGTAATGATTTGCTTGGAAGCCTTTTTCCTGGCAATAACAGTAGCTTTATTCTGGACAATATGTTAATGTAGTGTATATACAATTTTCAGTCTGTTTTTATAGTAAAATATTTACTCCTTGTGCAGAATTTTTAAGTGAAATAAAAGCCGTTAGTATAAAAATTTGACGTAATCTTGTTCTATCCTAAGCATGATCCTATCTTCCATGATATCTCTCCTTAATTTTCTTCGAAAAGTGCTTACCAGTAGGTGGAAAGCTATTAAAACTATTCCAGGTGAGTATGGGTTACCCTCCAGTGACATAATTGAATGGTTACAACAATTTAAAGTGGAATTATATCTGATGCATTATGCTGGACAGAAAACTAGGTAAATTTAAGTGATTTAAGGAGATTGCTAAATACTTTTTGATAGTTGATCAAGGTGTACAACTTAAAGAAGTCAAATAGAAATAATTGCTTAATGCATCAGTATATTTGCAGTGAATATTATGGTTTTGTAGGTAAAATACTCGCTAACCACTCATGTGAGTGGAGTTTGACTCCATGCTGACGCTCTCATAAACCTCATCTAGCTGGTAATGAGCCAAGCAAAGATGGAAAGTTGGGTTTTTTGTTGTTGTTTTTTCCTTCAAGTTCCCCAGTGGAACCTAGGGCTTCAAGCTAGTGGCTTGAAGTTTCTGTAGCAGTGTTTATTTTACAGGATGGGGTTGCTAGCCTCATGCCCAACCTTTCCTCTTTACCAGCATTATTTCTGGCTCAGCGAGGTAAAGGAGTGCGTCGGCTGGGGATCGAACCCTGGACCATGTGCATGGTCGGCGAGCGTCCTAACCGCTATACAACTGACGCACCGTTGGGTTTGTGACTAGCAGTAATCCCCTCGCCGTAATAATAACATCAACTCCAGTGAAACTTCAAAGCTTAAAGGTTAGAGCGCTCACAGACAAATAATCAACATTTTAAGTTGTCATATTATGTAGCTACTCTTTAGTTAGTCTCGGTACATGAAGCTATGTACGAGAAGGATAATATAACACTTCTCGTCATATAGTAGCATCTATTTACAGAGATAAAGTGGGTAGATACCAAGCACCGTTTGAATTACCCTAGTTATTGACATCTGAATAACAAGAATGAATAGACAGACTTCATGGCATAGTTTTGGACTTTTTACCATTACATTGTACTTAGTTAACCTCAATAGTAGTCGCGACTTCTTATTATTAGCTTGAGAAATCAATTTCAAGGAAGTTCCTTAGTCAGCAGTTGGTTATGCCTCATGTATGCTATGTTCATGAATCCTATTGGGATTAACTTTCTAGATTGAATAAAAGGGGCAGGATATTGTATGTTTGACGTAATAAAAAGCCTCTGATATGTAAGACATTTTCACTGCCTTCATGCCATAGGTTTTTCCTTATAAAAGTAAAAGGGCTAGTTTGGACATCTGGCACTTATAACCGGACTGATGGATATGTTGGTCTGTCCAGGTGATTCGAAACTAATTGTGTACATGGGCTCCAAAGTCACAAATGATAGAATGGCTGTATGGACCTATTTGGGCCACTGACAGCTATGATAATGTAGCCACTGACACTGATCCAGTGCGCTTTGTGGATTAGACTTACAGGCTTGGTGGCGGCGAGGTTGCCTCTTAAAACAATCACCCACGCTTCAATCTCGGTGTCAGGGAAGTAAGTATTCCAGTCCTCTGACAAACTATGAGATTTCGTGTAGCACATTTCTCGGTGCCTATAATGTAGCAAACAAGATTTTGTTTTAGTAATAATATTATAGATAAAAATTACTCATGAGAGAAATGTATGTGTGATATAAGCATTTCGTATATATTTAATTCTGAAATATGGTAATTGTTAACCACTGTGAAATTATGCTAATTTTTAATGACACGTATGAAATATTTTGGTCGGCTTTTTGAAAATTCCATATATACATATATATGTATATATGTGCATGTTTACATAGTGATTTAGTCAGTATTCATCGGACAGACGTTTTACTGCAATAATATTTTTGTCTTGCTTGTCATATTTTCCATAGACAAGTAATTTTTGGTCTCGTTTCGGCTATGGATCACGTGGGACGCTTAGCCAACAACAATCTGTCTCTAATCAACCTAGTTACAATTCGCTTAAGTTGGATAAGAGTAATACCAACAGCAATAGTAATATTATACAGTGTAATAATACAATGAAGAAGAAAACAATAATTAAATCGGATATTTCGGGACCATCAAGTTTACGATTTGCTAACATTCCAAATAGTTCTTCTACAGATTCTGGTAACAGTACTAGTTCAATGGATATTCGACCTAGTCCCGCACGTAAATCAGTTCATTTTCACGCTGATGTCATTAAAAAGGATGAGGGTGTTCACGTTAACGACAGCTGCGATATGGATTATGAAAATTGGTCTTCAGCTAATTTTAAGTGTTTAGGTTGGGCAAAAGTACAACAGAATTATACGCCTCGTCAGTCGACAGAGATTTGTTTACAAGAAGGTAAGAGTTATTGTAGTATTAACCATTTTGTGTAGAACATTTCGATATACTGATGTAGTTTATATGTGTTGTGACTGCAACTCACGCTCCTCATGGTCACCAGTTCACTTCATGTCATAACATAAAATTTCACTGATTAGTTTATTTATATATTAAGGTGTTAGTTTGTATGGATTGAATTAGTTTAAAGTTCGGTATCGGATTTAAAAACCAGGGAGTACTTGATAGGTGTTTCGTCCCACTTCGTGACTCTTCATTAGTACTCATCCATGACCTTCCGGTTACGTGGTGAGCTCCTAGAAGAGAATCCAGTGGTTGGTCCATGAATTCCAACTGCTATCAATTCGCGATATATATCGCTCCATTGTCAACCAGTGTCATCGGCGAGTATTTGTTGTCAAACCTAACCTGGTGCACCCCACAGGTCACCACTTCCTGTTATCATTATGGAATTATTTATTTACTTATCTTCTTGTTTATATGATATGCGTCTGACTCAACACACTGTACGTCATCATGTAGAAATTGTATTTTCTTTTTTACGAAAAGTATAAGGGCGAAAACCAAATAAAATAGAAAAATTAACAAGAAACATTGCGAAGTAAAAGTTCCACATCAGCATTGAACTCATTGGAAAATCATTTAAGTTACGAATGCTTAAAATCATTTCAGCTAATATTAGATACCACAGAAAGAGTATTCGTATTCTAATTTCCAAGCTTCCACCTGCTTGGTATTATTATCTGTCACTATAAAAATGAATTGCCTCAACTCTTGATTGTAATTGTATGAGTATTATTAATACACCGTTGATAATTTCTTTGACCCCGACCGATAGCTGCTACCTTGGCGTGGCTGCCAAGCTTCCATATTGAAATGACTCGACGAGCTACACTGAATGACACCAATACTCCTGCAAATCTTACCATGCTAGGATAGTGGTTACACTTAAAGTGATCAGCAATATAGTGTACAGTCGTTAACATTATGTTGGGGGTCCAAAGGTGAAGTCTTATTGCTAGTAAATAAGGATAGTCCCCTCAGATGACCCGCCAACTAGCTATGCTGCCCCCTGCTCTGAGAATGGTGAGTTAGAAAAGGCCAACCTCGGAAACTGCACATCCCCACTTACGCTGCGGCGGTTCGTAACCAGTGGTAAGAGTTTAATACCAACGCAATTCCAAAATCCACAACTTCAAACAAGTGGTGTGAGACAGGTCTCGAACAGTTACCTACTGGGCTCTGCGATCATGCAACACTAATCCTCCTGTTTTAAGTACTCCAAGAAGAAATCAACTTGTGTGATGTGGGCAGCTGTGGGATGTAACAACCGCCCAGACATTTTCATAAGCATAAAAAGTTTTCCTGATCCTCCGGACCATTTAAACTTTTGCAGGGAAATAACATTAGATCAATAATATGGGTGGAATTTTTAAACGTCGGAAAACATGTAGCTATAACTATGCTTTAATTTTTCTTTCATGAATTTACTAACAATCTGTCGCATTAAGTACTTGGGCAATTGGAGAATGAATAGCTGATGACTTGCGATTTATTGATCAGTTGAGGTTTTAGTTTTCCAAACCACTCACAAATGTTAATGAACTATAAAAGTAGTAAACTGTATCACAATGTCTGTGCAATGCTGACGGTTATTTTTTAAAATTCTTCGATCTATTTCGATTGGTATGGACTTTGGATGGCGGTTGTGTTATATACACTGCAAATCTTCAGAAGTTAGAATTCATCGGCTATCGGATACCGTCCCAATGGCTGAGATGGTCAGTGAATTTACCTCGCAACCTGAAATTCCTGTGTTTGATCCCTGTTGTGTAGGGTCCTGGGTGATGTGTACCGCTGAAGAGTCCCGACAACTGGAACAAAGCAGTTGTTCAGTACACCCTGGTTCATAATATTTTCATATGACAGAAATCTGTTCGTGTTCTAACTTGAAATCAATCAAAGCTCTGCAAAGCAACACTTGAAGGTCAAAAGTTTACCTACTTATTTTAGTGTAAAAGTGGTGAATGATTCATTCACAATGCTTTGTTGGAACACATGATATTTTTCACTGTTTTGTATACACTCAGGTAGATGTGATTGAATTTCGTATTCCATTTGTTTTATACGAAACTTTACATCTGTCATGGCTTCACTTTACTTTATTTTGCTACATTGCAATTTAAAATAAGGTTTAATGTTAGTATTCCCTTGGGTTTCTAATGGAAGAGGGCTTCAACAGTGCATCTCCGCTTTACTCTGTTTTATGCAGTCTTTTTCAGCTGAGTCCATGATTACCTATAAGCCTTCATCGTTACCTCATACATTCTCTCCTCCATCTCACACTCCCAGACCCAGCATGCCGTTTCCCATTTGAGTTCAACCCTAGGAGTGTGGAGCCGCGCGATGTCACTCCACAGTCTTTTCAGCATTTTTCCTATCTGTCTCCATTTACTTTGGCATACTTGTTGAGTAGCCAGAGTTCCTTATTGCTTATCCTTTCCGACCAGCCATCTGATCTTCAGTAGGCGTACAACAATCTGTAAGAAATGCTTTTAGTGATGCGACTAGTCTCTGAACCATATGGAAGTCTAACTAGACATTATTGTGGCAGATTATCAAAGTGATTTCAAACTGATAAAGGTCTGTCGACCTCCTTATCCGTGCCGCCGCCTGTGGTTGCCTACCTAGACAAGTTATCTTTCTTAAAAAATTGGCCTACATAAATATTTTGATATTTCTTCTCACTGTTATTTTTCAACTTCACTTTTTTTTCCTCATTATATTCAGGTGACATTGTCAGTATTTATCGTAAAGATAGTCCAGATTGGTGGTTCGGTGAAGTGAATGGTACAAAGGGGCGTTTCCCGGTCAGTCATGTGGAAGAGTTTTAAACAGTTTTTCTTTTCTTTATTCTCCTTGGTCAAATCACTGAGCTACTCAAAATTTCCATCCTCCAATTTTCTCTATTTCTTAATCTTTTTTCTAATCACATTCAATCATGCAACTTGTTTTGCTTGCTTTTTCAAATTGGCTTTCAACCTGCTATTGTGCGCATTTCTTGAAAGTGAGAGATGATTTCACATAAGCAGCGGGGGGGGGGTCGTTATGCTTCATTCAAATAGAACAGCGCATTTGGCGTCACTTGATGATATACTATAGATGCATTCTGCATTCTGCAATTAAGTTACACTGAGGATACTGTACATTGTGTAAACACTTTTGTCCAGAATAAAGTTGTGATCACTATTATTATTATTATTATTATTACCGTTATTATACCCTACAAATAATATGTTGTTTTTTATTTTATTTTTTATTTATTTTCATCTAAATCATTTTTATTGGAGTACTTTGTTTTTGAAATAGAGAGAGGTATTCATTTGTTTTTGTCATGCTTCAATATATACATATATATATATATATATATACATGCATTATATAAAGAGACATTAACTCATACAAGACCAGATTATCATCTATCTCTATCCCTGTGCTATTGGTAGACAAAGAGAGAAGTTTATGAATAAATATTTTTCTTGACTAATATCTAATTTAGCCTTTCTTTGTTTCCACATTTACATTGTGATTATAACTCATGTTTATTAAATTTAGTTATTCTATTACGTAACTGTAAATATTCTTATTCAACTTCTCTTATTAACAATGATGATGATGTTGATAACAATTCGTCACTTTTGTTACTGTCCTCTTTAGTGAGTGAGTGAAGAAAAATTGTATATTTATAAATAAATGCAATTGTGCAGATAGGTAAAGTGTAAAATGAATTCACGTCGATAAGATCCTCTTCTTCATTGAACACTACTTCTTTTACCATTTATAAATTTGTATGAGATCATTGCCTTAACTTATTCAAGAGACTTATAAAACTAGGGATTAAAATCGTCTTCAATGCTGCATCAAGTGTTTTTGTAAATATACACCTCTATATGACTACTGTATATGTATTAAAGCTCATCTCTGTTTTATTGTTTATTGAACACGTTGAACCGGATGTATATAAACAAAAGTATTGTCAATACGTGTACTTTGTATACTGTTCTCGTTCTACTTAGATTCATTTTATGAATATAGGGTAATTATTGCTTATAGTATTCAGTCAGATAGAGGATAGAATAATTAAAGTCAACAAAACAGATTATAAATAAGTGAGACAATATATATCAAAGCTTTCTTTGATAATAACAATTGCAAAGCTTGTATTTGAATAACTGTCATTATGCGCCATTATTGATTGATTGATTCCATTCGGGATTCTTACTTTACCAGTGTATTTTCCATTTTTTTCTGTTGTGTTTTTTATATTCTTTTTCATTAGTTGATTTCGAATTGCGCCAACTTGTTTTTTTCGAAATCCCGTTGAAAAATATTCTTGTATTCATTACAGACATTGTATGCAGTCCCTTGCTGGCAAAAGCCTTGCTTTTTATCTCTCTCTCTCTCTCCCTCTATACATATATATATATATGCGCGCATGATTTAAATCTTTTATATTTCCCTGTTTTGGATACTTGTAATTTATTCAGCTTACTAACTTGCTATATTGTATCCCATATTTCTTAAATTATTTTGACCGTTGTCTGTGTGTGTGTATGTCTGTATTTTACAATAATAATCAATACAACTTGCCTATTTGGTATATTTTTACCAAAAACAGGGACAATTGTTGATGGGCCATTGGATTCTGTCTCAGTGACTGAATGACCAACGAGTGAGTTCACTTTGTAAGTTGAAGGTCCTAGGTTAGACACTTTGGTGGTTATGGGTGGTTATGCGTGCGTACTTCTGGAGACTCCTTTCGAAACAAGGACGAAACAGCCGTCTAGTCGTCAGTGGTTTCCGATGGTTCTCCCTCTGACTAATGCTGCAGTTTGTGACCAGTCTTAAAGTTCGCATAGTTAAATATCAAAGCAGTTAAATTTACAGTGTAGGGGAAAGCTTTAAAAATGAATAGTGTTGGACACATTAGGCATATTTATGCACAAAATAAGATTTTATGAAATGTTTCAGTTGTAGGGCAAGATAACTAAATTAGTACCCAAGAAAATTTGCTGCACGAGGTAGGACATAAACTGAACAAGACATAATATATACGAAATTAGAACAGTATGAATGACAAATATACTCAGATGCCAATATGAAGAATATGAAATTCAAAACATCAGTATTAGTGCAGTACAGATAGAGATACCTTGAACCCTTACGTGGGATAATTAACAAAGCAGGAATAAAAGTGTCATTCAAATCCACAAACTCACTTGGAGACAAATTATGTGGGTTAAAGGATGCTTTGGCACCGATTAAGCAGAATAATTTACTTAATCTATTACCCTGCAAAGACTGTCCGGGTCACATACATAGGCCGAAGTAGTGAAACTAGCAAAATCTAGCTGGGTCAGGTTAAAAATCTATAAAATACTTCAGCTATAGCATTATATGCAGTTATGTACATTTATGCAGTAGGATAGGACAAGATAGTAGTCCTAAAATCTAAGATAACAGGGTGGCGGGAAGGTGGGAGACTCTCGGAAGGAAGCCTTAGACCTAGGTTTCGTGGTAGTTGGCACTCGTCAGCAAGGCGTATCTGCAACCTTGAAGGAACTCATGTCCCTTCTGAGATTCGAATCCGCGTCACCCAGTGCTGCAGTCAGAGAAGTTACCACTGAGCTATTCGGGCTCAGTGTATCTGGAAAGGAAGAAAAAGAACGATGAAAATTGCGATTCGAAGTTGTGTATTTACAATTATTGATATTTTCAAAAGAATAGACACGGATTAAAGAGTACTCTTTCCGATAAATTCATCATCAGGTTCTACAATTATATATACATTATAATGAATGAATGAATTAGTGTTATGAACGACATTAATGTTTAAATAATATCAAATCAATAATATTGATAAATTACAGCTGAACAGCATCAACATAAAATAAACTGAATGTCAGAAGAATTAGGAAAGGTAATAGTACAAATTCATGAGTTTATAGTCTCTACTGGGGGCCAGGGCAGTAGTAGGGGCTGGACTTGTTTCTTTTGGACACAGAGCACTGGTTGTTTGAGGCGAATTGCAATAGTCTCTGCTGTTCGGAGCATGCGGTGCCTCGACGATTTTGGTAATTTGTTAGGCACCTGGTATATTATAGAGAAGGATTCTTCTGCGCTGGCTTTGTAACCGGTTTGCACCAGATGGTCTAATATCGAGCTGTTAATAGTCTTAACTACACCTTTACTTAGCCATAGTGGGATATGTTCTCGAGCGAGCACGAAAAATCAAGTTCCTGGAGCGACGGCCAACATAACTCGCTCCAAAAGCGCAGTTGAATTGATAAATACAGTTTGAAGTGGCTAGTCTAGGTACTTCATCTTTCAGTTGAGGTAGCACCATCGGTCGTGTAGAGAATAATACGAGTAGTTCGCCAGCATTAAAAGTTCTTTGAACTGATTTTCTTAATTTCCTTGTAATTAACTCGCTTGGTATATCGACCATGAATTGTAGTCGTACATAAAGTGGCTTCTTGTTTTGAGGTAGTGGGTAGTCCTTTTCGGCTTTCTTTGTCATATGTTTCTTGATAAATTTGTCAGGATAACCATTTTCGATTAAAGTATCATATACCATGCCTTATTCATCTCTAATTATTGATATGACTATGAGCAATAAGTTGTGTTCGAAATGTTGTCATCCAATAAATGATACTATTTCACTGTTTAGTGACATATCTAATAAATAAATAAATATGGATCTGTTGCAATACATTTACAGATGAACTGGCATAAGATTAAGAAGCATATTTTTCGTTGTTTCGACGCGAATGTTCTGGAAAGATAAGTCGCCTGATGACTAATCTCATCCATAATATTCTACATCAAAATATATCACTTTATTTGTGTATGCCATCAGAGGCATGGAATCATGTTACGAATTTAAAGTTGTATTGTAAACAAATACTTGCTTTATACATTCGCTACTGCTATTACTAATCTATTTAGTAATAAATATAATAACTGCGTTCTCTATAGTCACAGTTTTATTGCAGTTTCTCACAGTATCACGTAACCGAATATCCTTTGATCAACATGAATTCATCTGATAGTGTGGTGCATGCATCCTAACAACATTTATCAGTAGTATATAAAGAGACGTTCATCAGCACAAAAATATCAACTAGCGGAGAAACAAATTCGACGACAAAGAGAGGAAATAAACCAGTATCGCGGAAAATATGGGAAACATGAAAAGAAACACAATACGAAGGGCAAAAGTGTAGCATAACAAGGATGATCTGTGCCAATGACGATTTTCATATAAGGTGTGCATAATTTCCATATATGTGTATATCCGGTTAACTGCTTTCATAATCATCACATATTCCACATTCCATATTATTATTCCCTTGAGATCCCTGTAGAGCACAGGCTTCTGTAGCACATCTCCATTCCATCCTATTCTCTGCAGTCAGTCCTTTTTAGCTGGCTCCTCGACTAGCCCACATCTCAACCTCATATGATCTATTTTATGCCACTCATACTTCCACATCGTCTTTGCCCATTCATGATCCACTTTAGCGTCTAGCGCGTCAAGTTATTCAGCAGTCTCCTCAACTTGTGTACAATCCATTTCCTTCAGTATATTTGTTTAATGATAGGCTTTTGGTTGATTCGTTGTCAGAGTTCCTTGTTACCCTATCTGAATTTTCAGTATGGAGCAAAGTGCAGAGATGTTGATAAAATTCTGCAGCTTGTCGAAAATGCTGCTTTCAGTGACACGCCAATTCTCTGAACTCTACAGAATCTTGCTGTTTATGCCGATTGCTGCAGATTTTCCCACTGATATCGCTTCTTGCTTCTCTGAGCTAAAAAAAGATAAGTAGTATTATAATCCTAAAATTCATGTTTTAATTTTAATGCAAGATTTACTTTTGTTGTACACTTTTTCGTTAATTCATTTACCAAAAGCAACTCACTTAAAATATTGAGAAGAATTCAGCTTAGTCAAATGAAAGGGGTCTGGTAACTGACACTTTCAAATCAGTGTGACATTATAATATGTAAACAGTAGTACAAAGAATGTTAAGCAGAATGCATTTAAATCATGTGTTTAGAGCCAAAACAAATTGTAGTATAACTGTAACCATGTTTATTTAGATTATTATTCTTTATTAAATGAGTATTATATATATATATATTGTTTGCTTGTTATTCACATAAATAATGAATGATAATTCAAATTCAGATGGAGAATTAAGAACTATTCGTTAACACTGAATTTCTTACTCCATTATGGATAAGATTTCATTTTGATCAATCACACAGTGTTACACAGTAATATTAACTGATGACTTTTCGAGCACAAATTATTGCTCATAATCATATTAAGTTACTCACACAACTTTTTCCTTCCAACTGAATTTCTTAAACAGAATTTTTTTTATTCCTGCACGTTCCCAGTGGAACATAGGGCTTCAAGCTAGTGGCTTGAAGTTTCTGTAGCAGTGTTTATTTTTACAGGATGAGGTGGCTAGCCTCATGCCCAACCTTTCCTCTTCACCAGATTTAGGTTCTGGCTTAGCGAAGTAAAGGAGTGCGTCAGCCGGGGATCGAACCCCGGACCATGTGCATGGTTGGCGAGCGTCCTAACCGCTATGCCACCGACGCTCTTAAACAGAATACTAAAGACTAATTATTTCTTATTAGTGTGCTGTCACTATTTTATGCCTTAGTTTATATATATATCTACATACATTTTTGTTTTATTCTTAGACTATTTGTACACGCTTATCTTTTATAAGATATTCCGTGTAGGTCATTAGTTGATGACATTGTATTATTATTATTGTTGCCTTGGGTTCTCAGTGGAATACAGAGCTTCCATAGAACATTACCACTTCGTCCCATTCTCTACGATCCTTTTTAGCTGCCCCTACGATTTCCTAAATTCTCTTATCTGTTCCTTACATGATCTTCTCCATGTCAACCTGGGAAAATGTCTAACTCAACGTTACCCATTCGGGCTCCAGTCGAGCAACAAACAGCCTGACGCACGATATCACCCAACGATCTCCTTAACCTCTGTCTGATCCACCTCTATGTCCACTGGAATATTTATTAGAAAAAATAGGTCCTTTCTTAGTTGGTTCCCATAGTCTCTTATCACTAATTCTTTCTAGCTATTCGATCTGGCTGTTGGTAAAATCCTGCCACAAGCTGTTGGGATTTTTTTTCGTGATGCGCTTGCCAAGTTTCCGACCCATAATATACAAGGAGTAACTGAGCTAACATCAGTGTCGAAATTCCAAATGTTGTTCTTTCCGCTGAGTGCAGAAGATTTCCAAACTGGTTTCAGCTTGGTGAAAGTCTATCTTGCCTTTTCCATGCTGGTTTTGATATCCTCATCCGTGTCTTCGCCTGTATTTGAAGCGATGCTTCCGAGATAAGTGAAGGAAGTAAACTCCTTCAACTTTATTCTGCTGATAGTGGTTGGTTTTTGCTGTTGGTTGGTTGGGTACCTTCACCACCTCTACGTTTACTATCACGAAATCACTGAGGTAGGAAATAAATCGAATATTACCTATCTTGTCACCAGTTTCTCTTCAGATCATAACTTCTTGATTTCTTAGAAAATCTTTAGTTTGACTTATTACATAAGAAAGCTTTCTAGCATGGATTGACATTTTCTCTTACAATTTATTAGTTCATGTATTCCAACCCATGCTTCCCTTATACATCTATGAGCTTTTCAAAAAGAACTGTTTTATATGTATTAAATAGGACTTTGAAGTTTGTAAGCAGAGTTGATGGTATGTCCTCGACCCAACTTACTGGCATTGTTGCTGATGGTCATTTTAATTCTTGCAAACAACTACCCACAGAAACCTTGTCGGTTACCAGAAACCCTCTCTATTATACACAACTTTCTCCTTGAATTTATTCAGGTAAAACCAGAAGAAATTTTGTAGGAATGTATGTTCGTCCGGCTAAATATAAATGCTCAGCCATATCATATTTAGGACAATTGTTGCGTGAAGAGATAAATGCCAGAGGAGAGTTTATAAAACAGCAAAACTAAATAATGTTTGGCAGCGGCCATCTTTGATGGTAGCTCGATGTAAAGACACAAGCAAAATATATCTAGCATATAATGAAATCACAATTTGCACATATCTTCTGTATTGCGCCAACTTTGTCTTCCATATTGTACTTCCGTTTGTCCTTTCTATGCTGTTTCACAACCACCCTTCATTTCTTCTCCTCGTCGTTAAATCCATCACTCTGGCACTTTATCCAATGAGATGGAATACATATTTATATCTGTATCACCATACTACTTATAAATACTCTCAGTAGCTACTTCACACTTACTGTATACTTTATAATACTTAATAATCAGCATTATTATTATTTATAATATATTTCTGTCAACTTGTTCACGTTTTCCGGCCACACCAGAGAAATACATCTTCATTTACTCCAGTGTATCATTAACTCCTACACAAATGCAAGTCTTGTCGTTTGATTCAAAATTCTTGATATTCTGACAAAGTAGAATGATTTGGATGTAGAAGTCGAATTTGAAGGAGTGATCTACCGCGAAATTGTTCTTCTCCCAGGGTCAAACAAAACAGTTAAACAGCTGAAACTGGCAGAGTTGAACAGCTGTCAAATAAAACCAAGTGCTAAATAAGTGACTCTAGTTGAACACAGAACGTAATTATGTGAGTTTTTGGGAAATACAGAGTTAGTGCCGATCCGTCTAGATGTAGTTCCTGGAATCGTCATTACTACATCGATAAAATTCTATACATCATATTGGATGAAAGCATATTTTCAAAAGATACCATCGAGAAAACCCCAGCGGAACAAATAGAAAAAAAAGATAAAACAAACCCTGGAGAAGAGAAGGAATGAGTCTATCACTAGCTCTTAACTGTTGCGACAACCAGTACCATTACGTCCCGTAAATACCTGATTACATAGTTTTCCGAAAGTTCAGAAATAAGACTATGGCCACTCTTGAACATGAAAAATCCACAAAAAGAAAAAGAGACAATGCGATCACCACTGAGTTCGCTGCTTACAAATCATTACATAGCAACTCTGATAAGCAGGATTTCGTCGATATAGAAGATTTCCTTCACTGAATTGTCTTTTAACCTCTTGAAAGCATTGAATTCCTCAACAAACCCACCCACCACTTGAAAAATAAAACACACATCCAGTATTGATCATCAGGACGCTGAACGAATTGTGCAGGAGTATTTCAACAGGAGTAATTATAGTATTATTATTCCCTTGGGTTCCGAGTGGAAAATAGGGCTTCAACAACACATCTCCACTTTCTTCTATTTTCTGCTGTCCTCTTCATCTGGGTCCACGACTGCTCATAATCTCTCATCTCCTCCCACTCACACGATCTCCTCCATGTCACTCTCGCACTGACGACCCACTCATCGCTTCCCAGTGGAATTCCCCTAGAGGGCCCATCCCGAGATGTCATTCAATGGCCTCCTTGACGTCTGTCCGATCTACCTCCACTTTCCCCTACATATTTGTTGACCAGTCGGGTCTTGTTTGGTTTTTTGCCAGAGTTTCTTATTACCAATTCTTTCTGGCCGTTTGATCTTCAGTAGGAGCTGATATATATATATATTCTTTTCTCACCCAATTAATTAATGAACTAAGTTAAAATAATTTAATTTAATAAATATGCATACAATATATTTTTCTTTTCTTTTTCAACTTATATTTCAATATCACAATTATTCTAAGCATCTTATCTGTTTATGTATATTTCTACTGCTTGAGTTTGTGTTTAAAACAATAAGAAAATTTAATCTTTGAAAATAAGGAAGTCAATGTGTTTGTAAACAAGAAAGGCCAGAAGAAAAAACACAAAATGACACAAAATAACAATTAAAAGCAAGTGGATTATTTATTTATTATATGTATACGCTGGGTTGAAACTTTTGTTTAGCGACATGATTGTATCACTGCGAATAAAATATATTCTGTTGTTGATATTGTTGTTGTTGTCGTCGACGTTTTATTCTGAAGATTAGAGAGATGCGGACAGAATTCATCAACTAACAAAACTGAGATAATTTACTTTATTTCTTTCCCCGCTATGATTAGTGAATCGAAATTCCAAACATTTGAAAACTCGAAAATGCAAAATCAAATATAGAATGATAATAATAGAATAAAAGTCAAAGTGTTACACAACATTGGTGCAACACACTTTGACTTTACAATTGATACCATTGAAATAAAATAATAATAATTATTATTATTATTGGATTGTTGTTTAAATGCAGTATTTAAGGATATTTAGGTCATGTCATTTTGTGATTATCTCATTCAAAAGTGATACTCTTATTGTTAATTGAATGAATCCGTATAGTTGATTGATTTGATTGTTTCACATGCAGTTGGTTTTGCTGTGCGTATGCGATGAGTTCAGAATAGTGCTTAACAATCCTTTTTTCTTTGTTTTAATTACAAATAGGATGTTATGATGATATGGACGTCATTCATCGTGATGAAGTTACGTCAGAACACAAAAACAAAACACAGACTCGACGTGTAATTAAAAAAGAATCACATCAGATAACACACACACACAGAGAATGACAGTAATAGTAATAGTCATATAAGGCAGAAAAAGAAGAGGCATTAGGCATTGTAGACAATTTCATGTTGATTGTTGATTTTGTTAATGTTTTGTAGTCAAGATATTGTTATTAGATCTAATGTGTGTGTTTTGTGCATACACAGTACTAGTGTGTAGTTGTAATACAGACAGAAGGGATTCGAATCCTTGTCTGTATGATGATCACACAAATGCTTTGTACATAACTGGTTTCCTCAATATTTACCATAATAATAATAATAATAGTAATCTTAATGAAGAAAAATGGTTGTTAGCTTTTTCTTTTCCTCTGAAACTCTTTTATACATCCAAGTCAGTGTACTCTCAACACTTATTATGCATTACATTATTATGTATATATCGAGAGATTTTGATTTCTACATTGAAAAAAATGCATAAATAAGCGTATTGAATTGTGTACTCTGTTCAATCCTGAGTTGTAATCAATGTCCATATATATATATATATATATATATATATTTTAACCAAAAGTTGGCCGTAGATTTAGCCATGACATTACTTTATAAACAATGAAACCAACAATAAAATAATAAAACAATTGTTGAATAAATGAAAGTAATTGAGTATCTGATTCACTTGTTGTTGTTGTTGTTTCATTAGGAAGGGTTGATGATGAAGTTGATTGCAACACTTGTGAGTCAACTGACTGAGGACTTGATGCCTGTGAATTTGTCCAGTCTGTTTGGCTGGATTTTACAGCTAATGGAGGTAAATTTTTAGTTAATTCGTTTAAACTTTTTTCGCTTTTAGCCTGATCATTCAGACTCATAAAGTGTTGTACTCTATCGGTTATACGTACCATTGACTGGAGGGCAGCATTATCTTCAAAACTTGATCTTGAAGATCCTAATTGTTCACTGTAATACAAACAAACAAAATGCGTTTATTATTTTCTTAACTATACACTTACTAAATCTAAACAATACCACTTGCGTTACTTTTGAGTATTAGTGGATAGTGACTAGTAGTGTAATCCAGGACAAAGTGCATTTCGTCCTGTTCAGGACTCGTCATTTAGATATGTACCCGCATTCCTCAGTGAGTGATGGTGTTACCACCGAGGTTCAAGTCCAGTGCCCATAATTTCAAACGCCAAAGTGTTATCCACTAGACCACTTGGGTCACGAGAGCCACCTCTTGTGCAATGGGTCACCATCACTCATTATTAAATGCAGGTACATCTATGTTAAGAGTCCCAAATAGGACGAAATGTGTATCCTGGATTCCACTGCTAGTCACCATCCACCAATTCACTTCAAGTTACGTGACCAGACATCGTCGAAGCATGTGTACAAGGAGCCATGTCAACATGAAACCGAGCACTTCGATCCAATCAATCGACGGAAAAATCTGTAATTGAATTAAATTACTTGTGAGTAGCTAGACATTTTCTCTTGAAATAAATCAATATTATTTGTTCAGAAGTCAATTAAATTTTGATTTTCCTGATGACTGATTGGACTGAACTGTTCAGCCTGTGTTGATGACATGTTGGCTGCTATTTTTTGGGAGCCTAACGTTTCAGTTCGGATAAATCAACAGAAAGGTCTAAATTGAATTCAAAACAAGTAATGACTGATTCCCATTGCTCAAGAGGTGGCTATCATGGCTCAAGTGGTCTAGTGAGTAACGCTCCCGTTTTTTTAGAATGATGGGTTCAGAGTTCGAGTCTCAGTGGAAGTAACAGCGTCAGTCAGTGGGTATTGCAGATGTATCAGGTTGATTGCGAATCGCTAACAGGAATCGATGCGTATCCTTGACTCCACTGGTAGTCTGTCAAATTACTCTAAAATAGTCATTGTTGTTCATTTAATTTCTGGTCGTGTGAAGCAGGATGTATCTATGAATAACGGAAGTTTCGGTGCAAAAATACATAAACGTCTTCACTTCGTAAACACTGCAGACAATGAAGTGATTATAGATAACATCAGTAATTGTTTTCCTAAATAATCACATCTGTCATTTATTTATTTCGAATGATGATGGATTTTTCATTTAAGCAGTCCCAGTATTGCTCATTTTATGGGGTGAGGCTGCAAACCTCACTTTCACCCTTCCTTCTTCTAAAAGCTTAATGGAGGTTAGTGAACTAGGTGCGGGTTAAAAGTATGTTGTTTAGTATTCCGTTGGTGCTCGTGGTTGATGAGTATTCTGCAACTAAACCACCGAATTACAATATACTACTTTTATTGAATTTTAGATTTTCCCGTCGATTAATTGGACCGAAGTGCTCGGTCTCAGGTTGACATGTCGGCTTCTTGTGCAGATGCTTCGACGATTTCTGGGCATTTAATTGGTGGATGGTCACTAGCAGTGGAGTTCGAGCCTCGGTGGGAACATCATCACTCACTGAGAAATGCAGGTACATCCAGTGACGAGTCCCAAATAGGACGAAATGCGCATCCTGGATTCCACTGCTAGTCACTATCCACCAATTAAATATAATATGCTACATTAGAATTATTAAAAACCGGTTGCAGTGAAGAAAATTTGCTTTACGATGAAGTCATCAACTAGGCTGTACATTCGTGTATTTATAGTTGATGTATGAGAAAGTCCTAGAATTATTGCAGTTTAAAGGTTTTATTATTGGAATTACTAAGTGCAATACACTGCAAGATAGGATACAGAAAATGGTAAAATAGTTAGGTAGTAGTACTATTCCAGAACTGCTTCACGTCAAAAGCCAAACTAATAAAATTACAAGATGTTATCATCAGTAAGATCGGCTAGGAAAGACATAATAAGATCGTAATTGAAGAAAACTTGACTCTTTGTGCGACTACGGATCAAGGACGAAGTAATAACAAACTGGTAGGAAGTTTAGAGAAAAAAAGTAACGCATACGGCAACTTTTTTTAAAAAAAACATAAAAACGAAAGAAACAAACGGGAAGGCTGGATAAGAAAGGCAATTGGATAATCATTATTCGTGTGACTGACTTTTTATGACGGCTACAGTAGGGACAACGGTTGGACATATTTTTTTTGAATACACAGTATGGGCTTGAACTTCTGGATAATCATTGGCTCAGCTATTCCTCGATGCTTTGATTTAGCTCCCTTTGAGAAGTTTGATCGAACCTTGTATATGATTTTGAAGGACTTTTCAAATGGAGCTGAATGTCCCGGATTCACCAGATGTTCTATTATTGAACTGTATACATCCTTGCGTTTCACCTTTGCTAACCATGCTGGATAATACTTTTCAGCGAGCTTTACAAGTAGACGCACGGTACGGCAAATGTCCTCGGATCCACACGAACAAGTGAACTGTTATATGCGTGCTGAAGTGGTGTCTTGCATGAAAATGTTATTCGTAGACTGGCGTCAAAGTATGTTTTACTGACGGACTTTGAAAGCCGTCTATGGAGCAGTTCTGTTCCGGTATCACTTTTAAATTCGAAGTTAAGTATCAGCATCTTTTTGGAGGCTACTTGGACCTTTTCATGCGTTTTCTTTGACTTTAGATTCTTGTCTGTGAATCTGGGTGGGAAACTATTTTCTGACACAGTCCCTTAGAAATTACTCAAATCTTCGTCAACCGACTCTTCAGTGCAAGAAAAGAGAGTATATCAAGTTCCTCTTTCTGCTTAGAGGCACACAACTTTGAAAGTTGATAAACTGTCCGTTCCATGTGGGGTTATGTAGATGAATCTTTTCACAGTTCTATGTTTCTGTTCCTGTCCATTTTTTTTATTCCTTCACGTTCCCAGTGAAACACAGGGCTTCAAGCTAGAGGCTTGAAGTTTCTGCAGCAGTTTATTTTTACAGGATGGGGTTGCTAGCCTCATGCCCAACCTTCCCTCTTTGCCAGTTCTATTACTGGCTTAGTGAGGTAAAGGAGTGTGTCGGCCGGGGGTTGAACCTGGACCATATGCATGATCAGCAAGCGTCCTAACCGCTGCGCCACCGACGCACTGTTCCTGTCCACTAGAAAATCATAACTGAGTTCATAGTTATACAGATTGTCTCAGTTCAAAGAGTCCAGTCCTTATAAAATCTATGAAATACCGACTAGATGTTTTTTTCGTTATACGAATTCATGCTCCTCAGGACTTTAGTCAGAGAAGAAAATGTTTTTCAGCTAGTATTCAGTCTACACAGCGATTTTGCCTACCGAATACCTTTCAGCGAATTACCTCCATTTTGTGAGTTAAAAACTTCAGTTGATTATGTTATTAGGCTGAGTGATCACTGTTGAAAATAAGTTCAGTTACATCACTTCTCGTTGTTCCACTCTTACTAGTTTCCTCCCATGAGGGATCATTTCCCTTTACTTTTGTGGGTGAATAAGTCAAGTGTCAGTATTTCTCTTTAAAGATATTTTATGGAACATTAGATGACAGGAGTCAACTGATCTCACCAATGACGTAAAGAATATTCTCTTTTTCTCAATATTTCTTCTTTGAAGCCTGTTTCTGTATATTACATCTTTTTCGGTAGGAAGATGGTCCACTGCTAATGACTTATTCTACAGTTTTTAAACCATTTCTAACAGTAATGAAAGTATATTTTTGATTAAACACTAGTCAGTAACTAGTGTAATGTGTCTAGTCCTATTTTTGCTGAAGACTAAATTCTCTCAGTCAAGTTTGCAATGTGGCCTCCGTGCTAGGTGGCTCATCATCACGGTGTACTCTTAATTCTTGGTATTAGATGGTTGTAGGCAATTGGCAGGAAGCCTTGGACCCAGGTTTTGTGCTTGTTAGCCTTCACCAGTCAGCAAGGCGTATCTGCATCCTTGAAGGAACTCGTGTCTCTTCTAAAATTCGAAACAGCACCAGCCAACGATAGACACATTACACTAGTTACTAACTAGCGTCCAATCAAAGTATTCTATAAAGTCCTACAGGAGGTCAATCGCGAGCCCGAATAGCTCAAAGGTAACGTCTCTGTTTGCAGCACTAGGTGACACTGGTTCGAATCTCAGAAGAGACATGAGTTCCTTCAAGATTGCAGATACGCTCTGCTTACTGGTGAGTCCCAACTAGCACGAAACCTAAATGGAATGCTTCCTGCCGATTTCCTTCAGACATCTAATACTGGTAATTAAAGTATGGAACACTGATTTATGAACAGTGTATATCTATAAGTTAGTGACCATTTTATTGTTCTCAAAAACTTTATTGACAATCACTTGTTTCGAAATAACAAGACAATTTCATTCCACAGTTTTCTGTAGCCATTTAGTCAAATAAGTGTCCGGAAGAACACAGCTTCTACGACAGTTACACCAAATGCCTTCAGCTACTTAGCGCATTACAACAGTTACGCAGCTTTATATAAATCTGTTATATTCGAATATTGTGAAAAAATGTTACGATGTTGTGGTAGACTTTTAGTTTCTGACATCTTTCTCGTTCTTTTCATTCCCTGAGTTAGTTCTAAGTTGAACACAGGGCTTCAAACATGAGGCTTGAAAGTATCAGGAGCCGTGTTCTTCTTATGAGGAGGAGGGGCGTTGGCTACATGGCAAACCTACCCTCTTTTCCTAGCCTGCTGTTGACTAGTTAACTAGATGAGGTTAAGTGTAATGAATGGGTAGGTCGGGGATCAAACCCCATGGATGGTTGTTGAGTACTTTACCACTAAAAGATAGACGCACTTAGTTTCTCAACAGAAGAGCAAATTCTATGTTCTTGAAAAGTATAAGAGTGTGTATGTATTAATATTTTCAGTCACTGTACTTCTTTAGCATAGATGATAATTTCGAAACTAGGGTAAGGCAATTGAACAATGTTTTGATAGCTTATGGAATCAGATTAGGAGAAATATACGTTGATTATAGATAGGGGTTCCTTGAAACGCTGAAAATTTTAAACATATATCCAACTTCCGGAAACAAACGCTGTTAA